GGCATCCTTCTCTAAGGTTTTGCTCATTAAATTTGCGGAAGAGAAGACATGGAGGAAAAATAATTGATATACCAATAAATATTAAATTAAAAAGAGCAAAAATATTGCTTTGTTTAAATTCTCTACTTTGTGTAATAAAATTTGATAGATGACCTCCTACCCAACATTGAATTTACGCACAGATTTCCAAATTCAGTTGTTTTGTGAGGTTTCATCCCTGATCCCAGATTTTTAGCAGATTTCTAGTTTATCCTAGAAATTCTCCATGTGCAGCTCTACCTTGACCTTTTGTCCTGGGGTTGCTCTGGAGTGGCAAATGCTGGATCAGCTCTAGGATGCTTTTGACTGGCAACCCCCATCAGTTGCTGTAGAAGTGGGAAGGTTTCCTAATTGTCCAGAGGGGTTGAACCTGGTTCAAAACTGCCAGATGGCCACCCTTACCATCTGCTTCTTGTTGCTCTTATTACAGCAGCCATGGCTAGTGGCCATGGCCAATGGCCATTGCTAGCGGCCATCACTATTGGCCATTGCTCATTGCCTGGAGTGACATTGCTGTCCGAAGTTGGGAACCCCAAAAAGTTGTGGTTCAGCAATGACCTCTAGTTACCCTAGTTAGCGTTCTGAAATTTTCACCACTGGTCTCTTCCAGCTCTAGTATTCTATTATTCTACTTATAGCATTGAAATAATAATAATAATAATAATAATAATAATAATAATAATAATAATAATTTTAGTTTTTACTCGACTCAGCTTGTGACTCGAGGTCAGTTACAACAGAGCTAAAAGCACCCATCCTAATGTGCCTGTACAGTGAGGTTCCATAAATGTTTAAGTGGGTCATCGGGGTAAAGTTCAAACTTGACATAGTATAACTAATGCAAAGCTCAAAACAGGCCCATGGCGTGGGGGGGGGGGGGAATCTAGGGTTCAACCTACCCCCCTCCAAATGTATTAAAAAGTTAAAAATTGTTTTTTAAAAAAAATCAAGAGGAAACCAGTTTTTTTTAACCTGACACATTTCAGGAGGCAGGGGTTTGAACCCTCAACCCCCCCCCCCCCCCGGGCTACAGGCCTGGTTCAAAGGTGGTGTCCTACCTCTCACATGTTATTCCACTATTCCACTTAAACAAATGCCAAATGAGTCCCTTGGAAAGTCCCTTCATTGCCTTCTTTGACTTCTGGGATATGCACCCCAAATATCACTTTGAGAACTTTGAAATATTTTCGTAGGGCTCCTTTGAAATTCAGCAGTCGTCGGCCATTCAGATCATCCAAAGGACTTGCTATAGGGACAGCAGTAGTCGCCAGTTTTAGCAAAAGCTTCAATGCCGCTTTCACCCTGGCACATTGTGATCCGCTACGAACATCATGCTAGGAGTTCTTGTTAAATTATTACACTATGTAACAAAATTTGGGTTCATCATTTGAAAGTGTTATTTCCTGTTTCATTGTGCAGCTCTTACTTTGAAAGTAATTGTTATACTCCAAAAACTTTGTTTTTGTGGCTGCCACAAACTAGGTTGAGTTGGTTCAAACTTGATGAGAAGTTCATTGAAAAACTATTTATTTATTTATTTATTTCTCCCTTTTCTCCCCTCACATAATATTCTACCTCTTTCCATGTAATGAAATACTTTTCAATATTTTTTTTAAAGTGTTGTGGGTGAAAAAAAAGAAAGAAAGAAAAACTAGAGCAAAATGTCCTGGAGGATGACCCGCAAGAACAGTGGTTCTCAACCTTCCTAATGCCGCGACCCCTTAGTATAGGTCCTCATGTTGTGGTGACCCCCAATCATAACGTTATTTTCATTGCCACTTCATAACTGTAATTTTGCTACTGTTATGAATCGTAATGTAAATATCTGATATGCAGGATGTATTTTGAGTCACTGGACCAAATTTGGCACAAATACCCAAATTTGAATACTGGTGGGGTTGAGGGTGATTGATTTTGTCATTTGGTAATGCTGGAGTTGCTGGGATTTATAGTTCACTGAAAATCAAAGAGCCTTCTGAACTCCACCAATGATGGAACTGAATCAAACTTGGCACACAGAATTCCCATGACCAAGAGAAAATACTGGGAAGGTGTGGTGGACATTGACCTTGAGTTTTTGGAATTGTAGTTCACCTACATCCAGAGAACTCAAGCAATGATGGATCTGGATCAGACTTGACAAAAATACTCAATATGCCCAAATGTGAACACTGGTAGAGTTTGGAGAAAATAGACCTTGCCATTGGGAGTTGTATTTGCTGGGATTTATAGTTCCTCCACAATGAAATAGCATTCTGAACCCCACCGATAGAATTGAACCAAACTTTCCACACAGAACCCCCATGACCAACAGAAAATACTATATTTTCTGATGGTCTTTGGCAACCCCTCTGACACTCCCTCGCGACCCCCACAGGGGTCCCGACCCCCAGGTTGAGAAACACTGCGCAAGAACAAAGTTTTGGCAGGTTTTTATTTATTTATTTATTTATAGTATTTTATTTTCCGCCCTTCTCACCCTGTAGGGGACTCAGGGCGGATTACAGTGTACACATATATGGCAAACATTCAATGCCAATTGACATACAACATATACAGACATACACAGACGCTATTTAATGTTTTGTGGCCACCAGGGGAGCTGTCGCTTTCATCATCCATCTGCGACACTGATGAAGTACTTCTGTATTCCCCACATGCTTTTTTGCTGGAGTCTTTTTTTATGGCCTCATAAATTAGTTAATTTAGCCTCCCCACACTTTAAGGTGGTACCTAATTTTCCTACTTGACAGATGCAACTGTCTTTCGGGTTGCAAAGGTTGACAACAGGCTACACAATTGGTTGGAAACCCACTCCAACCCGGGCTGGCTTCGATCTCATGACCTTTTGGTCAGAGTGATCTTAATGCAGCTGACAGCCAGCTGCGCCACAATCCCGGTTTTGTCCAGAGGTTTAGCACAGCTGGTAAATCGTCAGCAATTGTAAGATCTATCAACCAAAAGGTTGCAAGTTCGAATCCCGGGTTTGGCGTGAGCTGCCAAATGACACCCTAGCTCATTGTTTACCTAAACAATTTGAAAACAGCTTTAGCTGTAATTGGAGAAATTAGGTACCGCTAAAAAGCGGGGAAGGTGTTTTATGACACCATAAAGAGAGATCAGGAAATGCTGGGCGACCAAAAGGAAGGAGGAAGTCCTGACGGCTCTTCGTCATAGAGGATAGAGCAACAGCACCCCCTGGACTCAAGCCCAACCTTCCATGGCACCAAAAACAGCTGGACACTGAATCGAAACAAACCACCTCCTTCTGTTGTCTGTCTGTCTGTGTATTGTCTATACAAAATGGCATTGAATGTTTGCCAAGTATATGTACTGTGATCCGCCCTGAGTCCCCTTTGGGATGAGAAGGGTGGAATATAAATAAAGTATTATTATTATTATCAACTTTCTCCATGTTTTTTTTTATGATAGAACCAATTAGAGAATGACATTTATAACCCAGGAACAGAAATGGTGTTACGTAGTGTTATTAGTCATATAATAATAATAATAATAATAATAATAATAATAATAATAATAATGAGGAGGAGGAGAATAATAATAATAAAATAAATAATAAAAGTATGTCAAACTACTCTAGGACTTCCAAATTCAGACTGACAAAGTTCTGGAGCCAGGCATGTAGCCGGGGGGGGGGGGGGAGGGGGGGGGCTTGAGGGGGCTCCCCCCCCCCCCCAAATTCTCATGGTGGTCCACAAGAAGGCCTTACTGGTACATTATTTAAACTGTTATGTTTATTCATATCATGATCTGATCACCATGCTCAATATATCCCATATACATGGGGGTATTGGGGTAACGATACAAAAGGTTTGCTAGGGTAGATCCTCAGCACACCCCCCCAAAATCAAATTTAGCCCCCCCCCCCAATCAAACTCAGCACCCTCCAAATCAAAATCCGGGCCTGTCTGGAGCACAATACTCCCAGACTTCATGATCGTGGGAAAAAAACAAAGTATGGATCGTCGATATTTCAATTCTAGGTGACAGCAGAATTGTTGAGAAGCAATTGGAAAAGCTTACACGATACAAGAGTTAATGATCCAACTGCAAAGACTGACACAAGCCAGTAAAAGTGGTCCCATTGGTGACTGGCACACTGGGTGTAATAACTAAAGACCTTGGCCAGCACTTAAAAACAATCGGCACTGACAAAATTACCATCTGTCAGCTGCAAAAGGCCACCCTGCTCGGATCTGCATGTGTTATTCACCGATACATCACATAGTCTTCTTTATATTTATATATATACTTATATAATATATAAATACAGTAAATAAATAAATAAATCATAGAATCATAGAGTTGGAAGAGAGCTCATGGGCCATCAAGTCCAACCCCCTGCCAAAAAGCAGGAATATTGCATTCAAAGCACCCCTGACAGATGGCCATCCAGCCTCTGTTTGAAAGCTTCCAAAGAAGGAGTCTCCACCACACTCTGAGGCAGAGAGTTCCACTGCTGAACAGCTCTCACAGTCAGGAAGTTCTTCCTCATGTTCAGATGGAATCTCCTCCAAGTCTTAGACACTTGGGAAGTGTCTGATGTGTAACCCAGTACAAAAGACAGCTAAAACCTCTTCTTCAGGCCCTTCCACACAGCTCTCTATCCTAGAATATGAAGGCATAAAATCCCACATTATCTGAGTGTGGACTCAGATAACCCAGTTCAAAGCAGATCTTGTGGGATTTTCTGCCTTGATATTCTGGGATAGAGGGCTATGTGGAAGGGCCCTGACACTCCTTCTCTATAGGAATACAATACAGCAAAGGGAAGCATACAATGCAATGTAAACACTAAACAGCATAATAAGGGCGCTATGGATGCAAGGCAGCGCCCCCTAGCGCCGCTTTGGGCGAAGCGCACGCAGAGTGGTGGCAGAAGAAGAGGCGGAGCTGCCGAGCGGCGCCGCTCCATTCGACCGCCAGGGGGCGGCCCTTGGCAGGTTCCTTAGCACTCTGGACCCAGGAAGGAAGGAGGAAGGAAGGAAGGAGCGAAGGGAGAGAGAGAAGCCCCAGGATGAGCGCGCCAAGGCTGCTGCTGTCTCGCGCCCCGCGGTGGCTCTGCGGCCTCCAGGGAAGGCGGACCCCGGCGAGGTGAGCGTGGCCTTCCAGGGCTGCAAACAGGCAGGCAGGGAGGGCGCTGATTGGCTGGGAGGAGAAGAAGCAGAAAGTTCGGAAAGTTGGAGACAGTTAGTTCCTGCTTTGCCTGCAAGATGGGAAGGTGTATGCAGCTTTGAAAGCTTGCAATTTTGCAGAAAAGGAACATGCAACACCCCCCCCTCCCAAAAAAACCCCTTAATACATTTAGGCCCCTTGTACACTGCCATATAAAATTGTCAAAAAAGAGAGTCTACATTTGAACTGGATTATATGGCAGTGTGGACTCAGATAATCCGGTTCAAAGCAGATATTGTGGGATTTTCTGCCTTGGTATTCTGGATTATAGGGCTGTGTGGAAGGGCCCCCAGTCCTCTGTAGCCACCTTCAGCATCCAAATTGCTTTTAATGCTAATTGTTTTGAGATTCTTTTAGTATTTGTATATTTTTAATTGGATTGTAACACTTTCAGTGTTAGCCACTCTGAATCGCCTTGTGGAGAGAAAAAAAAGAGGACGATAAATAATTAATAATAATAATTTATTATTATTACTAGCAGTCCCCTGCCACGCGTTGCTGTGGCCCACATGGGGGTTCTGTGTGGGAGGTTTGGTCCAATTCTATCATTGGTGGGGTTCAGGATGCTCTGTGATTGTAGGTGAACTATAAATCCCAGCAAGTACAACTCCCAAATGTCAAGATTCTATTTTTCCCAAATTCCACCAGTGTTCACATTTGGGCATATTGAGTATTCGTATAGAGTTTGGTCCAGATCCATCATTGTTTGACTCCACAGTGCTCTTTGGATGTAGGTGAACTACAACTCCAAAACCAAAGGACACTGCCCACCAAACCCTTCCAGTATTTTCTGTTGGTCATGGGAGAACCATGTGCCAAGTTTGGTTCAATTCCATCGTTGGTGGGGCTCAGAATGCTCTTTGATTGTAGGTGAACTATAAATCCCAGCAACTACAACTCCCAAATGACAAAATCAATTTTTTGAGTGAAGGACATACATTGGGTTATTAGCTGTCTTGTGTCCAAATTTGGTGTCAAATTGTCCAGTGGTTTTTGAGTTCTGTTAATCCCACAAACTAACATTACATTTTTATTTATATAGATTATTAATAGTCCCGCAGGGGGACTCAGAGCGGCTAACAATGGCAACAATTCGATGCCGCAAATAATTACAATTATAACAGCAAGATAAAATCATACAATACAATAGATTAAAAACAAACATTAGTCATACAATCGTAAAGCCATTTCCATTATAACAATCGTATGGTCCGATTTAATGTTCAAGTGCCGTTGTGCCCGCTAGCCAAAAGCCTGGTTCCAAAACCACGTCTTCAGTTTTTTTCCTGAAAGAAAAAAGGGAGGATGCCAATCTAATTTTGCTAGGGAGCGAATCCCACAAGTGGGGGATCACCACTGAGAAGGCCCTGTCCCTCATCTCCACCAGATGTGTTTGCGAAGCTAGTGGGACCGAGAGCAGGGCCTCTTAGACATAATAATAATAATAATAATAATAATAATAATAATAATAATAACAACAACAACAACCTGTTGGGATTCTGGAAGTAGTATTGGGGGATGATCCAGTTTTGAAATGTAATGTTAATTTTATTCACTGTCATGCTCATGGCACAAATATTTATGGATATATATCCTATCTGATTTGTTATCAATCCACTCCTTTGAGCTTCACACAAATATTATGTGTGTGTGTGTTGTGTATCTCCTATCTGATCCAATCTGTTGTCGATTCACTCCTTAGAGCTTCACACAACTCTAGCATTTGCCAAAATATATGATCCTGTGCTTTTCTTTTCAATTTCTGGCCGAATAAATATACATATATATCTATATATCAACGCCCACCCACCCCTCCACCCCGATGGCACAATAGGTTAAACCACTGAACTTTCTGAGTGAAAGGTTGGTGGTTTGAATCTGGGGAGCCGAGTGAGCTCCCGCTGTCAGCCTCAGTTTCTGCCAACCCAGCAGTTTGAAAACATGCAAATTTGAGTAGATCAGTTGGTGGGAAGGTAATGGCGCTCCATACTGTCATGCTAGTCACATGACTTTGGAGGTGTCTACAGACAATGCCGGCTCTTCGGCTTAGGAATGGAGATGAGCACCAACCCCCCCGAGTCGGACACTACTGTACTGAATGTCAGGAGAAACCTTTACCTTTTATCTATATATATCTACCTACCTACCTATCTATCTAATACAGGGGTCCACAAACTAAGGCCCGAGGGCCGGATACGGCCCTCCAAGGTCATTTACCTGGCCCTCGCTCATTACAAAACAAAGGGCTTGCAACTCCCTATTGTCAAACTGGGATGATTGGATACATTAAAAGCCGGCCCTGGACTTTAACCTACTTCAGTGCTATGTGGTGCTTGTAGATAAGAGCAGGGGTGATACGTCAGAGGTGATATGAAGCAAAGCTTTGATTTCTTTAGTGTCCAAACTGTGAGAGGAGGCAATGGTACAAAAACTTTGACAGGAATATGCTCACCAGAAGAAGCAGGCAGACAGCAGTCTAATCAAGATCCTGTCAACCTTGTTGTGTGCCTTCAAGTTGTTTATGATTTTTAGTGATGTGAAGGTTAACCTATCATGGGGTTTTCTTGGCAAAATTTGTTCGGAGAAGGGTTGCCTTTGCCTTCTTTTAAGGCTCAGGCTGGATCTACGGTGCCATATAATGCAGTTTCAGAATGTGGATTAACTGTGTTGAAGTGGAGTATATGAGTCTACACTGCCATATAATCCAGTTCAATATGGGTCATTCACATTCTGAAAGTGCATCGTTTGGCAATGTCAATCCGGCCCAAGAGAGTATGATATGCGTAAGGCCTCCCAGTGGGTTTTTACAACTGATTAGGGATTCAGAACTGATTTTCCAGACTCTATCTAGTCCAACATGCAACTCACTAAACTGCTGGCTCTCCTACAACCTACAGTGCATTTAATGTAAGTTTCTGGCTTGTTCGATGAGTTGCTGACATAGGATTGCATGGTTAGTAAGGCTCTAGGCAGTTGTTGTTGTTCATTCATTCAGTTGCTTCTGATTCTTTGTGACCTCATGGACCAGCCCATGTCAGAGCTCCCTGTTGGGCGTCACCACCCCCAGCTCCTTCAGAGTCAAGCCAGTCACTTCAAGGATGTCATCCATCCATCTTGCCCTTGGTTGGCCCCTCTTCCTTTTTCCTTCCATTTTCCCCAGCATCATTCTCTTCTCTAAGCTTTCCTTCTCATGATGTGGCCAAAATACGAGGGGTATTTTTTAAGTAAGGTCCGTTTGAACATAAGTACACAACGAAAGTTTATTTCAAAAAAAATAAATTTATTTTCAGAAAGTACATACTTCACTCTATTTTTCGACATAGTTGCCAAGTTTGTTCAAATACTTATCATACCTCTGAACCAATTTTAAAATACCCTCTTTATTAAAACTTGCCACCGGCTCCGAAGAGTTCACTGTAATCAAAGAAGGGCGACCGGAGTGGTCCTCATCATGGACGTTGTCTTTGAATTGTCGTACCCACTTACACACTTTGTTTTCACTCATAACAGTATCACCGTACACTTCACAAATCTGTACACTTCACAAATTTCTGCAACAGGCAGGTTCCTTGCTGACAAAAACCGTATCACTCAGCGAACCTCACATGCGGCGGGTGAGTTGATAGTCTTAAACATTTTTAAAGCACAGAACAGAACCGTACAGGTTAGCTACAGAGTGAAAACTGAGCACAGTTGTTCCCGAGGCATGCCGGTACACGACGCACGCGCTCGTTGCAGTATGCGCGCGAACTACTAGTGTCTACAACAAAACGGACCTTACTTAAAAAAATACCCCTCGTACTTCATCATTGCTTCTTATATCCTTCCCTCCAATGAGCAGTCGGGCTTTATTTCCTGAAATATGGACTGGTTGGATCTTCTCGCAGTCCAAGGCACTCTCAGAACTTTCCTCCAACACCACAGTTCAAAAGCATCTGTCTTCCTTCGCTCAGCCTTCCCTATAGTCCAGCTCTCACATCCGTAGAGAATACCATTGCTTTTACTATGCGGATCTTGGTTGCCAGTGTGATGTCTCTACACTTCACTATTTTATTTCTAGGCATACATCTCATCAATTGGTTTTTCCTTGCTATTTAGTATCGGACTACATTTGCTATTGCGAGCTCCCTTGAAGTTCTTGTGAATCAAGTGTAATAGTAATCCTCATATGAACTAACTGATGAAGTGTAGTTGATGAGTTACTCCATCGTTTCAGTAGGGTTGTGAAACACTGAATCTAGATAGTCTGGTTTAGCTCGTTTAAGGATCAAGCTGAGAATGATTTATCCTCTGGCTTTTTCATATCAGATATACTGAAACAAAGTCATTAGATTGTAAGACATCAGCAGAGGAAGGAGAATTGTTTTCCCATTGCACTGATCATAGAATCATAGAATCAAAGAGTTGGAAGAGACCTCATGGGCCATCCAGTCCAACCCCCTGCCAAGAAGCAGGAATATTGCATTCAAATCACCCCTGAAAGATGGCCATCCAGCCTCTGTTTAAAAGCTTCCAAAGAAGGAGCCTCCACCACACTCCGGGGCAGAGAGTTCCACTGCTGAACGGCTCTCACAGTCAGGAAGTTCTTCCTCATGTTCAGATGGAATCTCCTTTTGTGTAGTTTGAAGCCATTGTTCCGCGTCCTAGTCTCCAGGGAAGCAGAAAACAAGCTTGCTCCCTCCTCCCTGTGCTTCCTCTCACATATTTATACATGGCTATCATATCTCCTCTCAGCCTTCTCTTCTTCAGGCTAAACATGCCCAGCTCCTTAAGCCGCTCCTCATAGGGCTTGTTCTCCAGACCCTTGATCATTTTAGTCGCCCTCCTCTGGACACATTCCAGCTTGTCAATATCTCTCTTGAATGGTGGTGCCCAGAACTGGACACAATATTCCAGGTGTGGTCTAACCAAAGCAGAATAGAAATTGCAGTTAACAGATTGTGAGTACAGTGTCTGGCCACTAGAGGGCAGATGGGAATTGGGCTGTTATATCACAGGGTGTTTGAGTGAGAAACTTTAGAAGTGTCTTTTAGCGATTGAGGAAAGAAAGAAATAATAACAACAACAATAATAATAATAATCATCATCTTTATTTATACCCTGCCACCATTTTCCCAGCGGTGACTCGGGGGGGGGGGGGCTTATATGAGGCCAAGCCCAACAGCATATTACAATAAATAAAATAAAAACCGAAACACAAACAACAACACAGTAGAATACATAAAACATATGAATACAGTAAGCAACATAAAAAACAATACAAAATAATTTACAATCACAATGATAATTGTCATTGTGATTGTAAACACTGTGACACAATCACAATGACAATTACAAAATAATTTACAATCACATGTACAAGATAAAATACTAAAAAGCTCAGGGTGAGACAGGAATGGAGCAGATCGTTTGAGAATGATTTATAATAATAATAATAATACTTTATTTGTACCCCGCTACCATCTCCCCAGGGGACTCGGTGCGGCTTACATGAGGCCGAGCCCAAATACAACAATACAAGCAATAAATTAACAATACAAGTAATTAATAAAAAATAAAAAAACATAGACAATAAAATATAACATTATTAATAAGACAACACACAATTAAAAACAGTGGGAAGGCCAAATGTAAAATTAAAAATGAAAATTGGAAGTGATGCTGGGACATAAATGGAAAGGTGATAGTGGTGTTTGTGGAAGGGCATACGAACAGACCTAAAGAAATGTAAAGTGCTTTGGAGGACAAAGTGCTATGGGATCATTATTCTGGGAAGGCGCACTGGAACAACCACGTCTTCAAGCTCCTCCTGAAGACTGCCAGAGTTGGGGCCTATCTGATGTCTTTAGGGAGTGAGTTCCAGAGTCGGGGGGCCACCACCGAAAAGGCCCTCTCTCTTGTCCCCATCAATCGCGCCTGCGAGGCTGGTGGGATCAAGAGCAGGGCCTCTCCGGATGGTCGAAGGGATCACGTGGGTTTGTATATGGAGATACAGTCACGCAGGTAGGCGGGTCCCAAACCATTCAGAGCTTTGTACGTAAGAACCTGCACCTTGAACTGGGTCTGGTAGATGAATGGTAGATGAATATCCTTTGTAAGGGAGAAGCTCATAAAGATTATTTGTGAGGGAGAAGCTCATAAAGAAGCTGGGGTCGTACAAAACAGGCCTTCATAAAGGTGGGGGGTAAGAGTACTGTAGAAACAAAAATGTTGAGGGGGAGCAACAGTGTATGGTTATATGGCTACTCTCCGAAGGCGCAAGGGAAAAGCCAGGTTTTGAGGTTCTTTTTGAAGGTTTCTAAGGTGGGGGCTTGCCTGATCTCACCGGGCAATAATTCAGACACTTTTGTCTCCAGTGTATTGTTGTTGTGAGCTTGATTTCAACTCCAAGATCTTCCAGGGTCTTACACCTTGGTAGCTATATTGTGTCATTTGCAATATCAGCAAATAAATCAGCAAGGGTATCCCTCTGGGCAGCTAAACTAACTGAATCCCCCCCATGAGGGTCTTCTTCCAGGGGCAAATCAAGAATGGACAGCTTGGAAGTCCCTGAACAGACTCAGAAGTGGAGTGGGCAGATCAAAAGACAACCTGGCAAAATGGCACTACCTAAAAGAATCCCCACACCTTGTGTGACTGTGGAACAGAACAGACAACTCCACATCTGTATGATTGTCCACTATTATTATTATTATTTACAGTATTTATATTCCACCCTTCTCACCCCGCAGGGAACTCAGTGTGGATTACAATGTACGTATACACGGCAAACATTCAATGCTATAGACACACAACATATATAGACAGTTACTCAGAGGCTATTTAACATTCCAGCTTTTCATGAGTGTATTCTGGCCACCAGGGGAGCTGTCCCTTCACCGACTTTTTTTGACACTGATGAAGTACTTCCTCATTTTTTGCATGCTTGCTGGAGATTTTTACGGTCTCGTAAATTAGTTAAATTAGCCTCCCCGCATAAGCGGCACCTAAATTTCCTACTTGACAGATGCAGCTGTCTTTCGGGCTGTAAAAGTCGACAGCAAGTTACACAAATAGGTGGGAAGCTCACTGCACTATGCCCTGCCTCGTTTACGGAGGAAGAATTGTTGAATGGCTACAGACAATGCCATTGCTGTGGCCCGTTTTTGGTCAAAAGATATTTAGCCGCCTGAACTCCTTCTATTTTTATCAGCTTTATACTAATTTGTGCAATGCTTTTGATACGAAATAAATAAATCAGCTTTGTAATTTTATATAAATAGGTTTTAAAATGTTAATTAAAATATTTCAATGACACAGCTATTGATACAGTTTGAATTTTCATTCTTAACCAGAGTTTAAATCAATACAATAATTTGTATGTATTTACCCCAAAACTTTCTCCTTTGAGTTCTAAAGGTCTAAAAAAATATTGTAACTGAATACATTGAGCCCTTGGTATCTGCTGAAATTTCATTACAGGACCCTTGTGGATGCTCAAGTCCCATTATATGCAGCCAGGTAGTGAAGTTGCATCCCCATCATGTGTAGCTTTTTGGAGTTTATGAAATATACAGGCAGTCCCCAAGTTAAAACATCTGATTTACAAATGTCTCATAGTTAAGAACGAGGGTGATACAATAGGAAGTGCTAGAAATCTATCCTTAGGGAGGGAAATTCACTCCTGGAAGAGTTATCATGGGAAAAAGGCATCTCCACTGAAGCTTTATCATCAATCCTTGTTTCCACAACAAGCCATTTTTTTTTTTACAATCTAAAGATCACAGGGACAGAAATTGAGGGGAAACCTTCGAAACACATCAACCAAAGTAATATAATGTGATGTTTTTTCTCTATAGCTATACAATCTGTTTTGTTTTATTTTTCAAGAAACCTCCATACGGACAATGACTCTGCACGTCTTGAAACCTCCTCTGCTAAAACGTTAATGGACATTGGAACTCGGAGCATCTTTACTTCTGATCATGACATCTTTCGGCAAAGTGTGAGGAAGTTCTTCCAGGAGTCTGTAGTTCCATATCATGCAGAGTAAGTTAAATACTGGAAATCCCTTCTGCCCTGCTTCTGTTAGAAGAGATCTTAAAAGGCATTCAGCTATGGCAGTGGGGGTCCCTTCTACACTGCTATAAAATCCATATTATCTGATTTAAACTGGATTATATGGCAGTGTGGACTCCGATAATCCAGTTCAAAGCAGATAATATGGATTATCTGCTTTGATAATCTGGATTATATGGCAGTGTAGAAGGGGCTGTAGCCTCCCTTCTCACCCTGAATTAACAAAGTTCTGGCAAGCAAAGGGTATATTCAGTGGGTGGAAGGGAATGCTGTTGGGTACTATTGATCCATTCAGCCCCATAATTGTTTTGGGATGTCACAAGGAATTACAGCAAGACTTTTGCTGAGATTAGGGGCACAGGACAAAGGAAGGAACTACCACCAATCCCTGAGGCAGAGTCCCACTGTTGAACAGCTCTTACAGTCAAGAAGTTCTTCCTAATGTTCAGGTGGAATCTCCTTCCCTGTCATTTAAACCCATTGCTCTATGGAGTCTACACCGCTGTATAAAATCCACATTGAATTGGTTTATATGGCAGTGTAGACTCCGATAATCCAGTTCAAAGCAGATATTGTGGATTATCTGCCTTGATATTCTGGGTTATATGGCTGTATGTGAAAAGGTCCTTAGTCTCTGCAGGTAGCAGAAAACAAGCCTGCTCCCTCTTCCTTATTTCAAATTTTTGGACATGGCAATCATGTCTGCGCTCACCCTTCTCTTCTGCATACCCAGTTCTTTAAGCTGCTCCTCATAGGGCTTGGTTTGCAGACCTTTGTAGTCATTTTCTGCTGGACACGTTCCAGCTTAGAGTTAATATCCCTCTTGAATTATGTTGCCCATAATTGGACACAGTATTCCAGGTGAGGTCTGATCAAAGCAGAATAGAGGGGCACCATTACTGCCCTATTACTATACTTTTTGTCTAGCAAGTTTCTGGAATAGGAATATTAGGAATTGTCCTAGGCAAGTATCTGTTTAAAAGAAAAAAAAGGAATACTGCTGCTTTTCCCTTCTTAACTGAGAAATAAGTGCTTGTTTATTTTTTATTTTCTTCTGTATTCCATTAGCTTGTTTCATCCAGGAATCTCAGTTATGCAAATGTTTTCTCCCGTTTTGTTTGTTGGCATATACAGAAAACACTTCAGAAGCCTTAATATTAAAGTGCCTCAGAAAAAGGGGTATGTGCTGTGAGATCTTTATTGGCTGCCAGCAAAAATATCACTCCAAATCCTCATGGCTGCAAACCAAAAATGGGAACTTGGAATCATTGGGATATGTCTTAGTGCAGCATATGTTTTGGTCAAGACTGCATATATGGAGCTCCAGTTCAAAATAGGCAGCGACTTGTATTTTGAATTGTTTCAATTAGGCTTTGCAACTCTAAAAATATTTTCACTTCATATCTTTGCAAATAATATTTCCTTATCATACAGAGAACTGTCTTGATGTGCATTTTCCTTTTTATGTAAATGCTAACATCATCTGCCCAGATGTTTTGTTGCTAATGTAGTAGTAGTAATAATAATAGTTATTGTTGTTATTATTATTATTATTATTATTATTAAAGCAGCATTAGAACAAATGCCATCAAAGCCAGAATTGAAAAGTCGACGACAGATCCCAAATGTAGACTCTGCAAGGAAGCAGATGAAACAATAGATTGCGCAGACGGACTACAAGGGGAGGCATAACACCATTGCTCAGATGATCCATAGGAACTTGTGCCACAAATACAATCTACCTGCAACAAAGAACTGGTGGGATCACAATCCGGAAAAAAGTTACAGAGAATGAACACATCAAGCTACTCTGGAACTTCTGAATTCAGACTGACAGAGTTTTGGAGCACAATACTCTTGACCTCATGATCGTGTTAAAAAACAAAGTATGGATTGTCAATGTTGCAATCCCAGGTGATAGCAGGATTGAAGAGAAACAACTGGAAAAGATGACACAATACGAGGATTTAAAGATCGAACTGCAAAGACTGTGGCACAAGCCAGTGAAGGTGGTCCCAGTGATGATCGGCACACTGGGTGCAGTGCCTAGAGACCTTGGCCTGCACTTAAACACAATAGGCGCTGACAAAAGAAGGCCACCTTACTGGGATCTGCATGCATTATTCATCGATACATCACACATTCCTAGACACTTGGGAAGTGTCCAACGTGTGATCCAATTCAACAGCCAGCAGGGTGTCTGCTGTGGATTAATCTTGTTGTGTTTCTTCTTCTTCTTCTTCTTCTTCTTCTTCTTCTTATTATTATTATTATTATTATTTTCTCACAATATAATTAAAACACATAAACATTACAAAAATGCTACAAATACACATATTAAAACCTATTGCTATAAAAGCTACATACATATCTCGGCGCCTCCAGCAATGAAACCTTCATTTTTATAGCAGTTATCTGTGTTACACCCTCTTCAAAACCCATAAAGTGAATTCCAATGACTTGATGCAATCTTGTTTTCTTTTTTGTTTTTGCAGGTGGGAGAAGGCAGGGCAGGTGAGCAGAGAGCTTTGGGAAAAAGCTGGGCAACAGGGCTTGCTGGGTGTCAATATCTCAGAAGAACATGGCGGTATTGGAGGGGATCTCTATTCTGCAGCAGTTGTTTGGGAAGAGCAGTAAGTACCAGATTCCTTGCAAGGATGGACAAGTCCCTTCCTGTTGCAGGTTTTTGCCAGAAACATGGAGCTGTATATCAGTATGAGTACTATTCTTCTCCCCTTAACATTACATACTTGTTTTCAATCCATTTAAAATGTGTTAAAACATCAAATTTCAAAATCTCTTAGGTGTGGGTAGATGTATTACACAACATTTGCATTTTTTAGATAAGCATTCCAGATCTAATTAAAAAGGTGTTGTTCCAACTACTGTCCTGGGTTCTTAAATGTAGTAATAACAAACAATATGCAACAAAGTAAATATAATAATAATAATAATAATATAATTATTATACCATCTCTCCAAGGGACTCGGTGCAGCTTACATGTGGCCAAGCCCACAGCACATCAATAAACAAAGGCAATAACAAATAATCAATACAAACAGTTAAAAAATAAAATAAATAAAAAATAAAACTCAAAACAAAAAAAACACAATAAGCAATAAACAATAACAATAATAACATACAGCATTTAAAAACCTATGGCCAGGCCAAATGTAATAATTAAAATTTAAAATGCTGGACATGAACAAGGTAAGGTAAACTAGGATAGGGTTTTCAGAGAAAGGTGAGGGCACGCAGACAATCCTAAATCAATATTAAGGTGCATTTGAGGACATATTGCTAAGAGTTTTCCTTATTCTGGGAAGGCACACTGGAACAACCATGTTTTCAGGCTCCTCCTAAAGACTGCCAGCGTTGGGCATGTCTGATGTCCTTAGGGAGTGAATTCCAGAGTCACCACCGAGAAAGCCCTCTCCCTCGTCCCCACCAATCGTGCCTGCGAAAGAAGTGGGATCGTGAGCAGGGCCTCTCCAGATGATCGAAGAGATCGTGTGGGTTCGTACACAGTAATGTGGTCATGCAGGTAGGTGGGTCCCAAACCGTTCAGGGCTTTGTAGGTAAGAACCTGCACCTTGAATTGGGACCGGAAAATGAACGGCAGCCAATGGAGCTCCTTAAACAGGAGGGATGACCGCTCCCTGTAAGAAGCACCAGTTAGTAACCTGGCTGCCACCCATTGTACCAATTGAAATTTCCAGGCCGTTTTCAAGGGCAGCCCCACGTAGAGTGCATTACAGTAATCCAATCTGGAGGTGACTAAGGCATGGAGAACCCTGGCCAGATTTGACTTCATGAGGTACAGTCGCAATATTCATATTTTTGGCAAACAAATCCTGATATAGCTATCTTCTTTCATTCTTAATCAGTCTCATGTTGGTTTCCCATTCTTGACTTTTTTAAAGCCAAAATACTATAGTCTATCCATAGTCGTTAAAAATTATATATTTTTGTAATGCCATCTGGAAATGAAGTTTCTTGATTTGCTCTTGAACATCTTAAATGCATCTCTAAGGGTTGTATTCTTGTGCCACATTCCAAATTTATCCTACAAATCTCCAGCCCTTTTCTCAAGGTTTGAGCATCCTCAGGGTATTTAAGTGACCAGTCCAGTCATTTTGGTGGTATATTTTCTTTCAAAACATTGGTTGAAGATTGCTGCCACAGTTGATCTGCTGTCTGGTGCTCTATCTCCTCCTTTATCACCTTCTTTTGTATTTTGTCTGTTTGGCTCAATTTGTGATCTCAAATTTCCAGTTGGGTATCAACTTTTCTGATCCCGTTCAAAATATCATCCAGTCTTTTATTACCTCTATCCACAGATTCAGTTTCTCATTTTGCCTTAAGTTAGCTTTTTTTGTTTCTTTACTCGTCATTATTTCTTTGGGCTATTTGAAACATTATACGACTTGTTCCACTTGATCACAGGATGTCGCCTTCTTTCTGCTATTTGACTGTTGAACGTACGCCCTTCATTTCAATTAGGCTTGCTATTCTCCTCCTTTTTGTGTATCCATGCAAAGTCCAGGAATGTATTCCCCGTAGATATGGGTGGTACTGTATTATGAAGCAGCCTCAGGTCTAGGTATCATGAGTGGTCTTCATAAGAAAACTGGGGGCTCTTCCACACAGCCATGTAACTCAGAATATCAAGGCAGATAACCCACAATATCTGCTTTGAACTGGGTTATCTGAGTCCCCACTGCCATATAATCCAGTGTGGACTTCCAATGTGGAATTTATACAGCTGTGTGGAAGGAGCCTGGGTGGGTTGAGAGAAAGGAACCGCAGCCCAAAACCTCTTCTGTGTATTGTGCTTCATCCCAGACAGTTTTACCCCTTCCTGGAAACAAATGCAATGAAAACAGCTGACTCAATTTTCACTGGATTTCTAAAACTTGGTTCTTGATGCCAAAGCAGATGAAAAACATATGTTTACATCTACATATTGCTTGGTTTTTTTTTTCCAAAACAGCTGCATGGTGCTACTGATTTGGCTGGTGAGGCTGTGGTGGGCGTTAAAATGTTTCTGTCTGTGCTGTTTGCCCCAGTATGAATCCTAAATCATAGCCATATTTAGATGGCATGATGGAGGAATAATAATTTCACCCCCACCCCCAGGTTATTTATCATCAAATTGGCAGCCTTAGTAGGAAGTAAAGAAAGAAAAGAAAAACCTGTTGCTTATATTCACAAGTTTTAGCTTACACGTGCTAAGGCAATAGGCTTGTCCATATATATATATATATATATATATATATATATATATATATATATATATATGCTCTGTGCATAATGAGTACCTTAAAAACAAAACAAAAACAATGAATGAAATCACACCAAATTTGGCAACAAAACGACTCACAACACAAGGAGTAACCATCACTCAAAAATTATGATTTTGTCATTTGGGAGTTGTAGTCACTGGGATTTATAGTTCACCTACAATCAAAGAGCAGTCTGAACTCCATCAACGATGGAATTGAATCAAACTTGGCACACAGAACTCCCATGACCAACAGAAAATACTGGAAGGTTTTGGTGGGCATTGATCTTGAGTTTGGAAGTTGTAGTTCACCTACATCCAGAGACTACCATGGACTCAAACAATGATGGATCTGGACCAAACTTGGCACGAATATTCCATATGCCCAAATATGAACACAGATGGAGTTTGGCGGAAATAGACCTTGAGATTTGGGAGTTGTAGTTGCTGAGATTTATAGTTCACCTACAATCAAAGAGCGTTCTGAACCCCACCAATGACAGAATCGGGCCAAACTTCCCACACAGAACCCCCATGACCAACAGAAAATACTTTAGGCCATCCAGTCCAACTCCCTTCACCAGGGTAAGAAAACGTAATCAAATCCCTCCTGACAAAGAGCCAATCAGCCATAGATAGAGATAGATATGATTCACACACAGATATAGTATCATAGATTTGAAAGGGACCCCTGAAGAAGGACAATTATATGTTGCATGTTCCAGAGTAGGCAAACCAGACACTCTCCACATCAACACTGACAAAAAAACAGCAAGAAATACTGTTTACCCACAAGCATAAAGAAATTACATATATTAAAAACCAACACTTTTGCATTACTTTATTTTCCAGATCACTAGACTGGGCCACAGCAACACGTAGCAGGGGACAGCTAGTATTTTATGAAACCCTTCTGTCCATCCATCCATCGATTTTATTTATTTATTTTTTGCTATAAGCAACACACTGAAATCCTTGCCCCATACATACAAACTTTGGTACTGTTCCATTTTCTGGGCGGAGGCCACAAGGGGGTGCTAGAGAGACAGATAGTCCATTTTGCAGGGTGGGAGGGGGAAGTTGAAGGAGGGAAACAATTTCCCCTGTTTTCACAAGTTATTCCCCCTCCCCACTCCCCATTTCATAAACTAGCGTTTCCACGACAGGGACATGGGTGAAAAGAATAAGAAGAAACTGTTTTACTCTTTCAACCCAACCTCCACCCCCATAAAATGGACTATCCTTCTCTCTCAAGCACCCCCTTGTGGCCTCCACATGGATAATGGAGCAGTACCCGTTCTATGAAGAAGGGTTTTCCCCTAGAGAAGCCTCAGGCCTTGCCTGAATATCCTTAATTTGCTGGTTTATGATTATCCATTTTGGGTCATGGCCTCACTTTGTTCAGGCTTCCAGCAGGTGGTGCTGTTGCATGACTTGTCTTCTCCCTGAGCAGACTCTTGGGATAAGTAACACTGCTCCCTTGTCAAAATACATAAAACTTCTGTTACATGAAAGTATGGAATATTTCATTGTTATGATTTCTATGTGTGTTTCAAGAATGTATGCAAAATTTTGCCCCATGCCATTGTGAAGGCTTTTTTCTAAACATTTTTTCTCTCCATTTTTGTTCTTTTCCAGAATGTACGCTAACTGTACTGGACCAGGATTCAGTTTACACTCTGAAATTGTCATGCCTTACATTGCCAACTACGGCTCCAAAGAGCAGATTCAGAAGTTCATTCCAGAAATGGCAGCAGGAAAATGTATTGGTGCGATAGCTATGACGGAGCCGGGGGCTGGGAGGTGAGCCAGATTTTTCTTGCATTGGAACTTAGATCCCATTAAATGGAACTTAGAGCCCTTCCATGCAGCAATATAACCCAGAATATCAAGGCAGATAATCCGCAATATCTGCTTTGAACTGGGTTAGCTGAGTCCATGCTCCCATATAATCCAGTTCAATGTGGATTTTATACAGCTGTGCGGAAGGGGTCTAAGATCCCACTAAAGGAGAGATTGTGAGTGTACCACCTCCATTGGTTCATTAAAGTATGATTGTTTTTGACTTCATGTCATTTCGACCCTAAGGTGACAGGGCTTTCTTGGCAAATATTGTTCAGAGAGGAGTTGCCTTCCTTCCTTTGAAGTGAGATAATGTTATCCAGTAGATTCAAACCCTGGATTCCAGGGTCACAGTCCAATATGTAAACTACTGCAGCATATGCTATCATTTTTCCCCTCATTGACTATATTCTGGCATGGGCTCATGTGAGTTGTTGTCTAACCATTTATGGAAGGCCACTTAGGGTCCTGGAGCCCCCAGTGGCGCAGTGGGTTAAACCCCTGTGCCGGCAGGACTGAAGACCGACAGGTCGCAGGTTCGAATCCGGGGAGAGGCGGATGAGCTCCCTCTGTCAGCTCCAGCTCCTCATGCGGGGACATGAGAGAAGCCTCCCACAAGGATGATAAAAACATCAAATCATCCAGGCGTCCCCTGGGCAACATCCTTGCAGACGGCCAATTCTCTCACACCAGGAGTCACTCCTGACACGACCAAAAAAACCCTGTCCTTCCAGACAGGCCGTATATTCCAGGATTTTCTGTTTATCCCAGATTATCTGGCAGTGGGGAACTCATATAATCCAGTTTAATGCATAAATCCTGGGATGTAGGGCCTGTCTGTAAGGGCCCGCAGTCTCCACCTGTACAGCAAAATAAATATATGTATATGTGATCTTCAGCAAATTGCTCTGGAGATCTTTTGAGACCTGAGGGCCACCCATGTGCACAATAAATGTGAGTGTTATTCTTGTTGTAAGAAATCATAAGGCAATGATTTTCTCAAGTGTGGCGCTGGACAGAAGAAAACAAGCAAAGACTATTTGAAGAGTACATGCTGGTAATGGCCAAAATAAATGTGTGTAATTGCCATAAAGATAGAAATACATCAGCTGAAAATCTTATACTAATGTACCCTGAATTACTACTTCCTTTATTTTTATTCTGCATATGGATGCACTCCATTGAGGGATGGAAACTTCTTTTCAAACTGCTGTAACTGGCTAAGAGTGCCCCTGTTTACTAAGAGTACATCCCTAAACATTCAGGCCTTCCTATCTCCGCAATCGCATCTCCTTCTATGAACTGGTGCAAACTTTAAGATCTTCCGGGGAGTCTCTCCTTTCGCTCCCACCTCCATCAGAAGTACGATTGGTGGGGACGAGAGAGAGGGCCTTCTCGGTGGTGGCCCCCAGTCTCTGGAACGCCCTTCCTAGGGATATAAGACAGGCCCCATCCCTCCCCTCCTTTCGTAACAGCTTGAAGATCTGGGGGTTTCAACAAGCCTTTGAGAATGACTAGTTCTAGCTCAGCCTCAGACATTGTTGAATATGACCTTATTCTTCCTACCTATTACCCAGGTCACTCCCTCTAATAGGCCATAGACAGTACCTGTTATTGTTGTTGCCTGCTAAGCACTGCACTTAATTCCTGGGCTCCCTAGAAATTTTGAGCTTGCACTAACCTTGGCCTTTTTAAATTGCTTTGAACAGGCAGGATTACTTTTAATATATATGTGTTACTGTGACAATTTTATGCTTATATTGTTTTTTTAATTTTGTTGTTGTTCTTTCATTCAGTCGTCTCCGACTCTTCGTGACCTCATGGACCAGCCCACGCCAGAGCTCCCCGTCGGCTGTCACCACCCCCAGCTCCTTCTTTTTAATTTTATGTTTATGTTTTTTACTCTGTATGTGTTGCTGATGTCACTTGGAAACTGCTCTGGGTCCCCTCGGGGAGCTAGAGCGGTATATAAATAAAGTTTTATTGTTGGTGGTGATTATTGCATTTCTCTTTAAATCATGAAATGCCCATCATAATAGAGATGGAGCATTTCTAGGGCAGGATGTGTGGTATGTCCACATTTCAAGGATCTCTGCTGGGCCTGTTCCGGCCAGATGCCCTTCTGCAATCCCTGGCATTGAGAGCTGCGTTCACCAATGTCACAGTCAGAGAGCCGATCGTGCCCAGGCTACAAAATTATCCTCAAATGCACTTGTTTGAGGAGAAGGTTGTGGTGGGATACCATCAGTGTGAAGTCTAAATTTATTTCCTATTTTTTCATTTCTGCAGACATTTGATATCAAATTTCTTCTCGTTTGTGTTTCGTTCCATCCTTGATTAGGTTATGCCACAGTGTGACTCTCTGGAGAACTTGTGTTTGTATTTGTGTGTGTGTCAGCGTGCACATTTGTACTCTGCTGTCTCATCGCTGTGTTTTGTGGGATTATTTTGAATATTATGCCTCTTGTCTGTTGTACTTAAGGTTTGTTGTCCTTTTAGTGACCTGCAGGGTGTCAGAACAAATGCGAAAAAGGATGGCAGTGACTGGATTCTAAATGGCAGCAAGGTATGTACAGAGAGGGTTGTTTTCTTGTGCCTTTGGGGTGGAATTCATCCTGCTGCTATTGGAGATCTTTGTTTTTAAGCTGCTAGCGATGAATTTGGCATTGCAGAGTCTTTCAGTCCAGCATTGCCAAGCCATCTCCCTTCTCATTTCACAGGACTCTTGCTGCCAAATCAGCATGGTTACTACTGGTGGCAGCCTTAATATTCAGTCAGCTTAGCAGGTGGTTTTCTATACTCCTTTTGTCTAGGAAAGATATAAAGAGCATCTCAAGAATTTGGCCTTTTTGTACTCTAACGTAGTTGGTCCGCGCAGGGTAACCAATGCTGAAATATTTCACAGTTCAAAAGAGTTGGCAGCAGAATGGCCTCCTTGGTATGAAATTGCCCGAAGGAAACCAAGGAGGCAAATAAAAACTTGACTGCGTCAGTACTAAAAAAGTCCCTTTCTTACTGTGTGTTTTGTTGAGACTTAAGGAAAATGTCACCTTGGAGGCTGACAACATGCATCCCAATTACTGTCGCTTTGCAGGTGCTGTTAGACATTTTAGTTAGAAGTGTTACTCCCTGGAAAGCAATTTCGAAGAGAAAACAATTGAACATTCTGTATACTCTGTATCTTACAGTTTCATTTATCCACACCTGCCAAAACAGGTCCTTTCTAGGCATTTTTCTAACATGACTATATGGTTTTTTTGGGCCATACGTTCTTCATTTCAATCGAGTTCACTACTATATGCAGGTTCGTGTGTTCATGCAAAGTTCAAAAACATATCCCCGTGGATAATAATAATAATAATAATAATAATAATAATAATAATAATAATCTTTATTTATACCCCGCCACCATCTCCCCGATGGGGACTTGGAGCGGCTTACATGAGGCCAAGCCCAAATGACAATTACAATAAAGAAAAACCAAAACACAACCGAAAACGTGAACAATAAACTATAACATCATAGTTACATAAAACATATGAATACATCTATATAAATAAAAATGTAATGTTCATTTGTGGTATTCACAGAACTCAACAACCAGTGGGCGAATTGACACCAAATTTGGACAGCATACACCTAACAACCCAATGTATGTCCTTCACTCAAAATATTTTGATTTCGTCATTTGGGAGTTGTAGTTCTTGGGATTTATAGTTCACCTACAATCAAAGAGCATTCTGAACTCCACCAATGATGGAATTGAACCAAAGGTGACACACAGGACTCCCATGACCAACAGAAAACACTAGAAGGGTTTGGTAGGCTCTGACCTTGAGTTTGGGAGTTGTAGTACACCAACATCCAGAGAGCAGTGTGGACTCAAACAATGATGGATCTGGACCAAACTTGGCATGAATATTCCATATGCCCAACTAGGAACACAGATGGAGGTTGGTGGGGGGGGGGGGATAGACCTTGACATTTGGGAGTTGTAGTTACTGGGATTTATAGTTCACCTACAATCAAAGAGCATTCTGAAGCCCATAAACGATAGAATTGAGGCAAACTTCCCACACAGAACCCCTATGACCAATAGAAAATACTTAAGGCCATCCAGTCCAACTCCCTTCACCAGGGCAAGAAAACGCAATCAAACACTGTTTGCCCACAAGTATAAAGAAATTACATATATTAGAAACCAACACTTTCTCATTACTTTATTTTCCAGATCACCAGTCTGGGCCACAGCAACGCGTGGCAGGGGATAGCTAGTAACAATATAAAAATTACAATATACACAAGCACAGTAACAATGGGCAGACTACATGTAATGATTAAAAGACAAACTGATTAAAACTAATTAAAAACTCGGGCGAGATAAAAGAGAGAAGCAGATAATTTATGGAGGAGGGCTCATTATAGCGGGAGTTGTGGAATCAAGTTTTCCCACGAAGGGGAGGGAACGTATACTCCAATGACAAAGCTTTGAGGTTGAGCAATCATGTGGGGTTATATACCTACTAATCAAAGGTGCAGCGGAAGAGCCAGGTTTTAAGGTTCTTTTTAAAAATTTCTAGGGAAGGGGCTTTCCTAATTTCCCCAGGCAGTGAGTTCCAGAGTCGGGGAGCCGCAGCGGAAAAGGCTTTCTCCCTTGTATTCACTAGGCGAGCTTGAGAAACTGGCAGGGGCGATTGAAGGGCCTCCCCGGAAGATCGGAGGGCCCAAGATGGTTCATGGAGGGAGATACGGTCACAAAGGTAGGCGGGTCCCAAACTGTTTAGGGCTTTATAGGTGATAACCTGCACCTTGAATTGGGACCGGAAAATAAACGGCAGCCAGCGGAGCTCCTTAAACAGGGGGGTTGACCGCTTCCTGTAGGTCACCTCAGTTATTAATCTGGCTGCCGAACATTGGACAAGTTGTAGTTTCTGGGCTGTCTTCAAGGGTAGCCCTACGTAGAGAGGATTACAGTAATCCAGTCTAGAGGTAACTAAGGCATGGACCACCATGGTCAAGTCAGACTTCATGAGGTAAGGTCGCAGTTGGCCCAGAAGTTTTAATTGCACGAAGGCCCTCCCGGGGGTGTCATACTGCACTTGGTTCATGTTAATTAACCTTATAGAAGTGTTGTGAAGAAAACATGGGCAATTTCAATCTCACCGCTCTGTGATTCATAGTGTAATGTCAGCATACATAGTATAGTGGTTATAGTTGAACTAGAACTGTGGAGGCATGGGTCATATCCCCCTTCAGCATCAAAATCAGTGGATGATCTTGAGCTAGTTGTTATGTCTTATTCTCAGTTTACATGAGACATAAAGGCACAGTGAGGAAACTGACAGTAGGGGTGGCCTTAGTAGTGGGATAGCCTGAAGAATATAGCTAGGCTTTAGCACAGCAGGTTAACCACCAGTTGCAATAAATTTTGCCAATCGAAAGGTTGGCAGTTCAAAGGCCAGCTCACTGCCCACCTAGCAGATTGAAAACAGTTGTGAGTAGATAAATAGGTACTACTTAATGTGGGGAGGTATTTTAAGGGCACCAAAAGGAAATACTAAAAAAATGCCAGTGATACAATCAAAAAGAGGAAGTCTGTGAACAGGGTTCTTTGGCATGGTGGATGGAGCAACAGTACCCACCCCCCTTGATGGCCAGAAATTGGAAATTCTTAATAAAAAATATTTGCCAAGAAAAAAAAGAATTAAAACTGATTTTGATTAAATGGAAAGAGAGTGTGAAACTCAAAAGTGCAAATTTATCATCAGAAGTCTCAACTGTGAACTCATGCCTGATAGAGAGTGCCTAGCTATATGGTAGGACTGTTAGGATAGGTTTCAGTAGGTCACACCGCCTACTTTGAAGGACCTTTGCAAAAATGTTGTATTCAAGACAAAGGAAGTAGTGGTAATAGAACAAAGATCTGATCCTCCCTTTTTTTCTGGATTCACAGGTATTCATTACTAATGGCTGGATGAGTGACTTAGTGATTGTGGTTGCTGTTACAAACCGTGAGGCCCGTTCACCAGCTCATGGCATAAGCCTCTTTCTAGTGGAAAATGGAATGAAAGGGTTCATCAAAGGGCGCAAGCTGGAGAAAATAGGACTCAAAGCACAGGTGAGTCCTAGTTGTCATAGTGTGTATATGTCACCTTATATTTCAGGTCTTAATTTATGATGGGAGTAAGAGCAGGCTTGGGTGCACTTGTAAGATGCAAAAATAATAGTATCCCTGCATAGTTTTCCAAACAGCTTTCTCCCCATGAACCCTATGAGCTTTCCCTTTGTGAGACAGAGAAAGGACCTTACCACATTGGGATATAATCCAGTTATATCAGTCTCTTTCGGCTCTTCGTGGTCTCATGGACCAGCCCACGCCAGAGTTCCCTGTTGGCCATCACCACCCCCAGCTCCTTCAAGGTCAAGCCATCAAGGATGCCATCCATCCATCTTGCCCTTGGTTGGCCCCTCTTCCTTTTTCCTTCCATTTTCCCAAGCATAATTGTCTTCTCCAAACTTTCGTATCTTCTCATGATGTGGTCAAAGTACTTCATCTTTGCCCCTAATATCCTTCCCTCCAATGAGCAGTCGGGCTTTATTTCCTGAAGTATGGACTGGTTGGATCTTCTCATGGTCCAAGGCACTCTCAGAACTTTCCTCCAACACCACAGTTATATCAGTATGCATCCCATATTTTTTTAGAACTGGATACATACTGTATTGCGGTGGGATGCGTACTCTCCTCATCACACCTGATTGTTACGATTCTTAAGATTTGACAATACTGCGCTTTGACTCATCACACCACGCAAGGCTGGCTCCTCCCAATCCATTCAAAACACCCCCTACATCACTCTATGACCTTTTAAAAAGTATTGTTGCTGATGGGATGCATACATATTTTCCTATCACACACAAAAACGGTGTTTCAGCAACAGAAGAATCCGTAGTATTTAAAAAACACTATTAGAATTCCATCTGCAAATAATCCGTTTCTGCGACACTTTGCAGACAGATTCCAACAGAATATTGATGGATGGGGCAAACCTCATATGATGGGACCTATTTGAAATCATTCTCAAACAGTCTCAGAAGCGAAGTATTTCCTAATATGAAGGTTTACACTCATTCCAGATATGAGTCCTTAGTTCAGAAACCAGCTGCATGAATTTATTGCCTTACGTGTTGGCCCTGTGGATATAAAGTGTCTGAGTAAGACGAGAACTTGATTTCTATCCTCAAAAGACGTACGTGGGCAAAGGCAGCTGAACTTTCCACTGGATTAGCTCCTTGTTATTTCCCATGACCAATCCTTCTCTTGCCCACTACCTCCCAGTACTGGATGTATGCAAGTCTGGGAGAAAAGTGCCAGGGCTGATGGATTATGAGGAAAGTAAATTAGAGAAGAGAGAAGATTTACTTGATTCATCCATACACTACTTTGATGTTCAAAAGCCAGGCTCAATGCATGAACGGAGGAGACACGCTACGACTTATCATTCTTTTAGATGTGGCATTCAGTCATTTTCATCAGTAGTGCAGCTTTTATAAGCCATGTCTCCCATTGAGACCTGTCCTAGCATGAATGGATTGGTTGTGTGTATAAGAATGAGAAGCTATTGCAAGAAGCAAGACCTTGTAGATCCAAAATGGTGGTGTCAACTGTATAGTTTTGTTTGCTTATAATCAGGACACGGCAGAGCTGTTTTTTGAAGATGTCCGCTTGCCTGCCAGTGCGTTGCTGGGACAGGAGAACAAAGGCTTCTATTATCTTATGGCAGAACTTCCTCAGGTAAGAGAAAGAGATGAAATCATGTTCAAGGCATAAAACCACACCGGAGAGATTAACACAAAGGCATTATTTGTTCATTACAACAAATGGCTGGCTACAGATAATGTATTGTGTGACATGTGATCTCCAGCACAGGTTGTCAACAGGATCCACCTGCTGATCCCAACATGGTGCATTCAGCCTAGGGCTGTAAATGTTTTGGGGTGTAATCTGCTGACAGACAGACCTGATGTAATGTAAAAATTGGTGGGGGGATGGCTTATGACAAAATAGCTTCATCACATTATACAGATCTAAGTGTATGTATACATACACACACACACACACACACACACACACATATATATATATATATAGAGAGAGAGAGAGAGAGAGAGACATAGAATCATAGAGTTGGAAGAGACCTCATGGGCCATCCAGTCCAATCCCCTGCCAAGAAGCAGGTGTGTTGCATTCAGATCACCCCTCACAGATGGCCATCCAGCCTCTGTTTAAAAGCTTCCAAAGAAGGAGCCTCCACCGCACTCGGGCAGAGAGTTCCACTGCTGAACGGCTCTCACAGTCAGGAAGTTCTTCCTCATGTTCAGATGGAATCTCCTCTCTTGTAGTTTGAAGCCATTGTTTCGTGTCCTAGTCTCCATGTAAGCAGAAAACAAGCTTGCTCCCTCTTCCCTGTGGCTTCCTCTCACATATTTATACATGGCTATCATATCTCCTCTCAGCCTTCTCTTCTTTAGGCTAAACATGCCCAGCTCCTTAAGCCGCTCCTCATAGGGCTTGTTCTCCAGACCCTTGATCATTTTAGTCGCCCTTCTCTGGACACATTCCAGCTTGTCAATATCTCTCTTGAATTGTGGTGCCCAGAATTGGACACAATATTCCAGGTGTGGTCTAACCAAAGCAGAAGAGGGGGAGCATTACTTCCCTAGATCTAGAGAAATATAGAGAGACAGACAAACAGATAGAGAGCATTTGGAGTCTGTGCTTGTGGCAATACATCCAATATGCAGGTCCTTGGACAAAGAAGGCAAAGGAAATATGCCAGCTGTTGGCAACGCATAACTAATGTAACCCAGCTTACATTGCTAGCAGCATAACCCACAAAAATCCCATTTTCCCCAAACTTCACCTTGAAACTTTATCCCGAAGCCTCTTCCCATAAGGTGGCCTGGCTTTAAAAGGACTTTAAAAACTCTTAATTTTCTGTTCCTAAAAAGTGACATTCAAGTGTAAGACAAGCCATGGGGTATGCAATTATTCTCAAATGAAAAATAATGTCTCATCAAGATACTTCTAGAGCCATGACTTGCCAAAGACGTCCAAGGGAGAATAAATCTGGACTCTTAACTCTTTAGAAGTTGTCCATGTTCGGTTAGACCAGTGATATAATTCGACATCTAGTTTTATCTATACTGGCTACAGGTGTAGAGCAGTGGTTCTCAACCTGGGGTCCCCAGATGTTTTTGGCCTTCAACTCCCAGAAATCCTAACAGCTGGTTAACTGGCTGGGATTTCTGGGAATTGTAGGCCCAAAACATCTGGGGACCCCAGGTTGAGAAGCACTGGTGTAGAGCTTATCTTGGTGATACAGGTATATACAACACAAAGAGAATATTTGGAAACCAGGTAGATCCCCCCCCCCCCACCACCACCACACACACACACACACATTAAACACCACAGATTCAAAAGCCCTGCTGTAAATCACAAAGAAACAATTATTGCTGGTTAGTCATTGAAAAGATTAGCAGTCTCATTCAAGTATGCATCTAATGTTGGGACTGGATATTGTGAATCACAAATATGGTGCAGAGAAAGAATGATGCTTCGTTGCTGTTGAATTTTGCGACCACACCCGTCTGACAATGTCCCCACTCTTGGTTTTCTCCTCCAGGAAAGACTACTGATTGCTGATATGGCAATTGCTAGTTGTGAATTCATGTTTGAAGAAACAAGAAACTATGTGAAACAGAGAAAAGCTTTTGGAAGAACAATTGCACATTTGCAGGTAAGCATTTAGGTTCATTTGCTTCTCCTTCAGAGTCTGTGCAGTTGCCATCCTGTACTCTGGATTCTAGCGTGATTTTGAAATGAAATAAGCTTTCATGACCTTGATGTTCCTGCTTGACTGTTGAGTGGAAGTTGATACTTTCGGGGATATTTGTCAAATACAGGGCATGAGGGCATTGTGTTGTGATGTGGACACTCAGAGACTCAGTACAGGCAGTCCTTACAAGATAAGTTCTGTAGATTTGTTCTTTGGTTGTAAGTCGGAAGAGGTACATTTTTAAATGTAACTCCAGCCAAATATATATAAGTACTAGCTTTGGATAGCATAGGGAAGAGTTATTTATTTATTTAAAACATTTATATTCTGCCCTTCTCAACCCGCAGGGGACTCAGGGTGGAGCAGAACATATATATGGAAAACATTCAATGCCAAGACATAACAATAAATTTACACAAACATTAAAATCGCTTATATCTACTTTAAAATCAGATGTTTAAAACCATCTCAAGACACCATTCTGTCAGTGCCCATGTTCGGAAGATTTCACCTCCCTTTTTGTCCCTGTGACAATTGAATTTTGAAAAATTTGGCTTGTTATGGAAACACTTTTTTGCCATGATAACTCTTTCAGGAGTGAATTTCCCTTCCGAGGGGTAGATTGCTCTCACTTCTTGTTGTCTCATTCCCATTGTTAACTAGGAATTGTTTGTAAATTGGATGTTTGTAACCCAAGGACTGTCTGTATTGTTTCTGGGAAGTCAGGCGGATCATATGGCCAGGAAAATGTTTCTCGCCTTTGGCCCAGTGTCACATTTTGCTGAAGAAGGCAAATATGGCCACAGAAATCCATGGCTTAGCCATCACTCCTCTAGTCTACTGCAACATGATCTATAGCGGGGTCCACAAACTTTTTAAACAGAGGGCCAGGTCACAATCCCTCAAACTGTTGGAGGGCCGGATTATAATTTGAAAAAAAAAAAAGAATGAATTCCTATGCACGCTGCACGTATGTTATTTGTAGTGTAAAAACACTTAAAAACAATACAATAATCAAAATGAGGAACAATGTTAACAAATATAAACTTATTCGTATTTCAATGGGAAATGTGGGCCTGCTTTTGGCTGATGAGATAGGATTGTTGTTGTTATGTGCCTTCAAGTCGTTTCAGACTTTGGTTGATCCTGAGCGAGGGCCGGATAAATGACCTTGGAGGGCCGCATCTGGCCCCCGGGCCTTAGTTTGAAGACCCCTGATCTATAGGGTCGGCTGCCTTTAAAAAGTTTTTGGAATTGCCAGCTAGTGAAAAATTCTAATGAATGGTGTGATATGTGGTTTTGTGCATTCATGCAAGCCCACACCACAATGCTGGGTCTTGCCTATAAATCTCTAAATAGATTTAGACCAAGGTATCAGAAAGACTCCTTTTTGCTATAGAAGCCTGCCTGAATTAGATGAATATAATTGGAAGTCCTGAGTATGCTTGCAATGCACCCTTCCCCACAGAAATTGGGTTGGTGGGTTCATAAGACAATCTCATCTGTAATAAGGAGCCATAATTGTGCAACTCTTAGATTTAGCTTTGCCTTCTGCCTTATTTCTTTAGTGGCTTAATCCTTTCTTCCACTTGCAGGTTGTCTAGCTCTTGCTAAAATCTTTGATCTCCATTTTCCTTTGTTCGGGTCTCCTCTGGTTCTGTAGATATATTTTAGGCTGTAGTTTTGGGGGCATCCTTATATATGTCCCTGATGCTTCAGTGTGTGACGGATTAGCCTACCTTACAAGGCTGGCGTACAGTCAGTAACCAGCCTGGCTTGGAAAAGCTAAGGAACGGGGCGGGGGGGGGGGGGGGATCAGGCTGCTTCATAGCTGGAAGTGCAGTCTGATTGGCTGATGCTTAGCAACTGGAAAATGAGCAGAGCCAGAGGAAAAGAGCTAATGCAGCCAGAGTTTAGTCAGTTTTAGAGTTGGGAATTGGAGTTTGGAGTTTGAAAAGTTAGTTTAGGAGATTTGAAGGGGAAGGAAGGGAGAGAGGGAGGGTGGGTTTGGGGAACTGTTATTAGAAAAGATAATACTTTGAGGAAAGTAATTAAAGCTTTCAGGGAGAAGGATTAAGAAACTAGTGAGCCTCTATAGTTTTAGAGTGCTGGTGTGGAAAGAGGATTCAAAAGGTTTAAAACAACCTGTTTGTATTCCTGTGTGTGGAACATTGTTTTCAAGAAACTCATGATTTAAAATCATTCTCTGTAAAAGTAAATCCTGACAGTTTATTTGAAACCACTACACATCTTTACTGTTCAAGAATAAAATAAACATCACATTCTTGTTTTATTTCACCTGAAGAGTTCATGTGTCTTCTTGAACATTCTAGCAAGGAGGTGGCCTATAGATCAATAAATGGTGACAGCAAAAGAATAATAATAATCAGTTGGTGGCAGCAAAGAAATATATAATATACAGGGGTAGCATCCCACTGTCCTGTCTTGTGTGTGTGTGTGTGTCCTGTCCTCTCGGCCTTTGCCGGCCTTATCTATTATCCCATTGCACAGTGCAGTGACGTTTCCAGGTGTTCTGTAGAGTACGAAATGGAATCATTGTTTGGAAGCAAGTCTTCAAACAATTATTATTATTATTATTATTATTATTATTATTATTATTTTATTATTATTATTATTATTATTGAGGATTTAAAGATAGGAGGATTTAAAGATAGAACGGCAAAGACTCTGGCACAAGTCAGTAAAGACGTCCCAGTGGTGATCGGCACACTGGGTGCACTGCCTAAAGACCTTGGCCTGCACTTAAAAACAATAGGCGCTGACAAAGTTACCACCTGTAAGGTGCAAAAGGCCACCTTACTTGGACCTGCACGTATTATTTGCCGATATATCACACAGTTCTAGACACTTGGGAAGTGTCCGACATGTGATCGAATACAAAAGCCAGCATGGTGATCTTTGCTGTGTTCTAATCTTTTTGTGCATCAAATAATAATAATTGTATTTCTTACCCACTTCTCCGTGTGACTTGAGGCAGGTTACACTTAATCATTATATAAAATAGACATATTTAAACATATTTCTACAAAATACATTTATTGAAAATCACAGAAAAATGATTAAAATACAGTGGACACAAGACACAAGTTTAAAATTCATGATTAAAACTGTCTGGGTGGTATGCGGATGAACTCTGTGGGCGGTGCTTTCTGCGCACACTGGAAGGAGCAGGACTGAGCTTGTCTGTCCTGCTCTGTCGCCCACATCTTGGCTCACTGCATGTTTCATTAACCCTCATAAAAATGTAGGAAATAGCCAGGATTGTATCTGATCTGGCTCTCAAAGGGATTATTTAATTTTGTTTGGAATACCATCTTATGCAAGCTAATGTGGTATGCAACTGCAGCATGGGATTAAGCCCAGTAGAAGTACAGCCATCCCTCCATGTTTGCTATGATTAGGAGCAAAGGACCCTTGTGAAAGTGGGAAAAACATAATTTTAAAAAACCACTTAAAAATGAGATAACATCTCTAGGAAACTCTGGGTCTTTCAGAGTTGTACAGTAGGAGCTAGAGAGAGACCATGTTAAGCAAATCCATGAATAATCAAATCCACAAAAGTCAATGTGCAATATGGAGGGCAAACTAAATAGTTCAAACTATATATGGACAGGATTTTGTTGTAAAACTAAAAATACGCATATCATTAAGTTTGTTACATTACAGGGGATTCATTGATGTTCTAAATCAGCCTTTCTCAGCTTTTTTATTCTGGAGATGCCCTTGAAATAAGTTCCCAGTCTCCATGAACCTCTAGGTAAAGATAATTAAATCTAATTTTTTCCACAATCTCTCTCAGAATCTCAGATTCCCCTCTCCGAGGTTGGGAAATCCAGGTTGAAATTAATATTGTTGCTGATGACAGACACTCTGTTAACAGTCAATCATATTACAAGTCCAATATACGTCACTGCAGAGTTTTGAATTCTAAGTTGAATGTGCAGTAATAAAAACGTCTACCCTTTCTCTCTGAGAGCCCCATTTTCTGTCCAGTGGAGAGAAGAAGCATTAGAAGTGTCCAGCTATGGTCCTGTCATTGGATGTATCGTGACAGGCATACTTTGTTGTTCATTCGTTCAGTCGGTTCAGATTCTTTGTGACCTCATGAACCAGCCCACACCAGAGCTCCCTGTCGGCCGTCACCACCCCCAGCTCCTTCAAGGTCAAACTGGTCACTTCAATGATGCCACTATTTTAACTGACATGGCTTAGTGCTATGGGATCCTGGAAGCTGTAGTTCGATGAGCGCTCTTTAAGAAAGCTAGAGGCCCATTATTCCATAGCATTGCTCCATGACAGCCAACATGGAATCAAAGTACAATCATTTGCACAGTGTATATCAGGCATGGGCAAACTTTGACCGTCCAGTTGTTTTGGACTTCAATTCCCACAAGTCCTGTTGTTGTTTATTCGTTCAGTCGTCTCCGACTCTTCGTGACCTCATGGACCAGCCCACGCCAGAGCTCCCTGTCGGCCGTCACCACCCCCAGCTCCTTCAAGGTCAGTCCAGTCACTTCAAGGATGCCATCCATCCATCTTGCCCTTGGTCGGCCCCTCTTCCTTTTACCTTCCACTTTCCCCAGCATAATTGTCTTCTCCAGGCTTTGCTGTCTCCTCATGATGTGGCCAAAGTACTTCAACTTTGTCTCTAGTATCCTAACAGCCACTAAACTGGCTGGAATTTCTGAGAGTTGAAGTCCAAAATACTTGAAGGCCAAAGTTTGTCCCATCTCAGTGTGTATATCTTTATCCTTCCTGTCTCTAAACAGAAATCTGTCTTGTGGTGTGCATCTTTTGGCATAGAACTGTGCATCTTTTGGCATTGTCTTAGGAGAACCTTTGGGGGACGGAAATTATAGGTATTTTTTTTAAAAAAGTTTTTTCTCTCTCTTCTGCATGGAAGACTGTACAACACAAGCTAGCGGAATTGAAAACAGAGATCTGTGTTGGTCGGGCATTTCTGGACCACTGCCTCAGACTTCACTCTGCGAAACGGTTGGACTCTGCAACAGCGTCAATGGCCAAATACTGGTATGTGTGCCAAACTGTTACCTATCCATCTCTCTCACAGTTGCATAGACAGTGGATATAGTGGGGGTTTTTTGCTCTTGAAAATATCACGTAATTCTCAAGTGTGAAAAAAAAAATCTACTGTATGTTTTCAAGTTCAATTTTGCTGCTCCCATTTGCAAATGGAATTGGTGTGAAATGAGTATTTAATTCAACAACAACGAAGAAGTTAAGGTTCCCAAAAAAGCTAAGAAATCACCAATCTACTACTTGTCACATCTTAGAGAAAACTGGCTTTAATTCAGGGATAGGATTTGCACGGGGACCACCCCCATTGCCATTTTTGAGAAGAGCTCAAATAAATGGAGGCTTTGGAGGTGTTATGAATAATTTTCCCACATTGGAAAAGAATATCCCACTTCTGGCACCAGTTTGTCATGAATAACTTTTCAATAACTTTAAAGCATACGTTTTTTTTTTTCATTGCAATTTCCAGTGTGAGAGGGTAGATCAGAACTTTTGCAGAACTTTTACACAAATAATGACATTAGACATACAGACATACAGATTCTATGCAACTACATTGGATTTACAATTACGTTGGTTAACAAACAAAGCGGAGTTACATTTTCAATCACCATTCACACACATGTACATGCATTCATTGTCATGTGTCCAAATATTACCATATCCTTTTCTCCCTCCTTGGAGAAGCACCTGTTAGGCCAGACCTTGCTTTCCTGCAGTCTGCCAACACATAGTTGCAAAACTTCCATGACACCAAACATTCAAAACACTAGAATGCATCCTTTCCCTAAGCACTATGCCAGGGACCAGATATGTGTTCCATACAGCAGAACCTGACTCCCTGCATAAAATCTAAGACTCCGAAAGCGCACTTCTTCTTCTTCCCTTGAGAAAGAAGGCCAAGTGGCCAGACCGCTCCCGTGCAAATCTGCCACTCTCCATATGTACACTGTCTCTCTTCTTCCCATGGAGCAGAGCATAGCGGGTGAACCAGACTCCTCAGGTCTGTCACAATTTGAGCATTATTAGATTGAGTCTTTCATAGGAATATTCTGCTGATGTAGTCCCAAAGTTGTAAATTAATGATAGACATTATCCATCCTGCTTCCATCTCAGTTTCCTGGCCAGATGTTGATACTTCTTGATTGGTGTTAGCTTTGCGTTGACTTCCTTCTTAACATTGTAAACATTTATCTTATCACTGTCCAGTTCATATCACACTTTACTTTTCAGTTCTTATTAGCAACTTTTAATTACAGTCCAGCAAGCAGGTCGTTAGTCGTTGCAGGTCTTAATATTACACTGGCGTCTCCAAAATTATTAACCCCATTCATACATCCTTCCATTCTTCCATTCATTACCGCACGTCATATTAAATTCACATTTATCAAATCTGCACATTGAATTTCTTATTACAGAGGAACTAGGAGGATTTTGGGGAGGGGTTCATGGATGGTCGCTAATGACGGAGATTTTATTTATTTGTCGTGTCAGAACAACCAGTCTAACAGAACAAAGCAAACAAACAGAAAAATACACAACTTGTGAGTTTGGTAGCTGGTTAAATGTCCTTTGACCAGTATCTGGCCACTTGGAGTGCTTCCGGTGTTGCTGCAAGAAGGTCCTCCATTGTGCATGTGGCATGGCTCAGGTTGCATTGCAGCAGGTGGTCAGTGGTTTGTTCTTCTCCACACTCGCATGTCGAGGATTCTACTTTGTAGCCCCATTTCTGAAGGTTGGCTCTGCATCTCGTGGTGCCAGAGCGTAGTCTGTTCAATGCCTTCCAAGTCGCCCAGTCTTCTGTGTGCCCAGGAGGGAGTCTCTCATTTGATATCAGCCATTGGTTGAGGTGCTGGGTTTGAGCCTGCCACTTTTGGACTCTGGCTTGCTGAGGTGTTCCAGCGAGTGTCTCTGTAGGAGATGATGGAGAACTAAGTACTTGATAAATCTTGAAGGGCTCAAGTTACAGCTGAAGGGGTTGGGGCAATAACAGGAAAACGGGGAAATGGTTTAATTTCTTCAACCTACCTTCCACCCCTACTATCCTTTTCTTTCTAGTGCCCCCTTGTTGCTTCCACCTGGATAATAAAACAGTATTGCAATCTGATTTAAGCAAATTGTAACTTGAGCCCTTCAAGATTTATTAAGTACTTAGTTCTATACAACATCCTGCAAAAGCATGAACTTGATCTTTGATCCCAAACATTTTTCCCTAAATCGTACTTCCAGAGTGATGTATTGCCTGCTGCCATATTATAACCAACCCTGACCTAAGTTGCATCTTGTAATTGCATTTTTCATTAGCTGGGGGGAAAAAAGCCTCCAGGGTTGTTATTGCTGTTACAGATTAACTTATGTTTCACCAGACCAAGTTAGACATGTAAAAACAACTAAGGTAATACTTTGTACTGATGCCAGATTAAATTAACTAGATGAAATCAGATGTGAGTGAGATTAGAAAAGGAACAGAAAACATTGTGAAGAGTCTGCCATTTTTAGTGAGACACAAGCTGGCGTACAAAGTCAAAATCAGACACAGATGAGAGATTTCCAGTAACAGAAAAGAATCTGGAGGTGAAATACTTGATAGGGAAAATAATTGACATTTTGCTTCTAGGAAAAGGAAATCACCATTTGTCTAGCTGTCTGAAATTCGATGAGATATTCAGTGACCTTTTCTGGAATCTGTGGAATGCCGTGTTGTGGCAGCTGCACATTTTCTCTATTGCAACCTTCAAAGTCCTTATCTTATCCTTCCAATGTAATTTTGTAAAAGATCTTCTTAAGCAAAGTTGTTTTTCTTTAAAGTTATTTCTGTTGGGGTTTTTTTTTTTTTGCTGTGCTTTGGCAATATTCACATAAAACTCTTCTGCTTCCGCTGCTGAGGGGGAGAAATTCTTAGTCCCAGATAATTTGTGTGTTTTGTTGAAAACCGGATGAATTAAAGGGATGAGGAGGTAAGTATCAACCAAGTTCTTTTATCTGAAAGGTTCTTTGAGAACTTGGGGAAACTAATGCATTACTTCAACTCAAAGATGAACACCTCTAGAAATTTATTTATTTATCATATCAAGAGCAAACTGAATAGTTGGATTTCATTTTTCTAAAACAAACAAACAAACAAAACACAAAGTTTGCAAGCTTGGTAGTTGATTAAATGTCTTTTGACTAGTATCTGGCCACTTGGAGTCCCTCTGGTGTTACCGCAAGGCGGTCCTCCATTGTGCATGTGGCATGGCTCAGGTTGCATTGCAGCAGACGGTCAGTGGTTTGCTCTTCTCCACACTCGCATGTCGTGGATTCCACTTTGTAGCCCCATTTCTTAAGGTCGGCTCTGCATCTCGTGGTGCCAGAGCGCAGTCTGTTCAGCGCCTTCCAAGTCGCCCAGTTTTCTGTGTGCCCAGGGAGGAGTCTCTCATTTGGTATCAGCCATTCATTGAGGTTCTGGGTTTGAGCCTGCCACTTTTGGACTCTCGCTTGCTGAGGTGTTCCAGTGAGTGTCTCTGTAAATCTTAGAAAACTATTTCTAGATTTAAGTCGTTGACGTGCTGGCTGATACCCAAACAAGGGATGAGCTGGAGATGTCACTGCCTTGGCCCTTTCACTATTGGCTGCTACTTCCTGGCGGATGTCAGGTGGTGCAATACCTGCTAGACAGTGTAATTTCTCCAGTGGTGTAGGGCGCAGACACCCCGTGATAATGCGGCATGTCTCATTAAGAGCCACATCCACTGTTTTAGCGTGGTGAGATGTGTTCCACACTGGGCATGCATACTCAGCAGCAGAGTAGCATAGCGCAAGGGCAGATGTCTTCACTGTGTATGGTTGTGATCCCCAGGTTGTGCCAGTCAGCTTTCGTATGATATTGTTTCTAGCACCCACCTTTTGCTTTATATTCAGGCAGTGCTTCTTGTAGGTCAGAGCACAGTACAGAGTGACTCCCAGGTATTTGGGTGCGCTGCAATGCTCCAGTGGAATTCCTTCCCAAGTAATCCTCGGGGCTCGGGATGCTTGCCTGTTCTTAAGGTGAAAAGCACATGTATGTGTTTTAGATGGATTAGGGATCATCCCTAGAAGTGTCATGTGTCTTATAATAGATATATTTTTTTCTGGTACTGAAATTAGTGTGTGTCTTACAATCAAAGAAATACGGTATTACAAAAAAATCAAGTTTAGTTTTTCCCTTTGAACAATGTCTCCACCTAATACATGATTTCAAACAACTTCAAAGAAGATGGAATTCCTGGCCATTTTTTTTTTCATTTGTTGCATATTAAATTTTGATATGAGTGAAAAATATTTCAAAGCTGTGAATAATTCAACAGGCATTACTTTGTCTACATAAACTAGTATCAGTGAATCAAGATAGCTAGCCATAAGGAATCTTAGGACTACTTATAAGCTCAACTGTTATGGAAACGTTTTCTTTCTCTTCCATCTAAGGGCTTCTGATCTCCAAAACAAAGTGGCTACTCAGTGTGTACAGCTCCATGGAGGATGGGGATATATGTGGGAGTATCCAATTGCAAAGTAAGTGACCTTGCTTTTTACCTTCACAATCATGCCATTTTGCTGGGAAAACCGATCATCCATAAAGACAGACGTTTCACCTGTCCTTTATTTATCCTCTTCATCTACAAGATGTTCAAGGGTGAGAGTATTCTTTTAACTAAAGATGTTGATGTAGTAGTTATAAAAGGCAAAATAAGAAGGCTTCCATCTGGCCGAGAAAGCAAATTTCCATTCATCCATAGCCGTATGTTTAATATACTTTATTTTTGGCATGTCTAGCTCCTTTTTTGCCTCAAGTTGGCTGTGCACTCTTTATGAAAACATTGGTTGGGTTGTATAGTTTCTAGTCCATAGATGGAAAATTTCCAGGCATTTAAAAAACACTTGATTTTTTTTAAAAATGGAAAAAGCAATATTGGTATGCTTTACAATATACAGATAGTAACATCATTACTTTCGGCACATAAAATGTGATAAGGCATAAAATTATGTTTTATATGTGAAGAGCAAAGTCTGTTTAGAATATAGGGCATAATTGAAGTGCAAAGAACTTGGGGGGGGGGGGCAATTAAATAAAACAAGAACCACCAAATGCATTGCTGTGAGTTTTTCAAGGTGTATGGCCATGCTCCAGTAGTATCCTCTCATTTATGGCAGGCATCCTCAGAAGTTTGTTCAGAGGTGTGTTAGAAATAAGGCAAGTGGAGTGTATATAGCTATGGAATGTCCAGGGTGGAAGAAAAAACCACCAATATTAGTAAGACAGAGAAAAATATTTTGTCTCCACTAGTTCTCTATAGTGTTCAAGAATAGGAATGATAATATAATAATAATAATAATCCTTTATTTATACCCCGCTAACATCTCCCGAAGGACTCGGTGCAGCTTACAAGAGGCCGAGGCCCAACACATCAATAAAACAACAGCATAACAAATACAACAATAAATAAACTCATAAACTCCTAAAACAGAACAATAAACATTAAAAGACTAGCAGTAAACATTAGACAATAACACCATGACACATTTAAAACTAAGGCCTGGCCAAATATAATGATTAAAAATTTTTAAAATGCTGGATGTGACAAGTGAAATGGATAGGTTTTTGGAGATAGGTGCGGTGTGCAGACAATCTTAAATCTCTAGTAAAGTGCATTTGGGACATGATGCTTGGAGTTTCCTATTCTGGGAAGGCACACTGGAACAACCACGTTTCAAGCTCTTCCTAAAGACTGCCAGTGTTGGGGCTTGTCTGATGTCCTTGGGGAGAGAGTTCCAGAGTCAGGGGGCCACCACGGAGAAGGCCCTGTCCTTCGTCCCCACCAATCTTGCTTGCGACGCAGGTGGGATCGTGAGCAAGGCCTCTCCAGATGATCGGAGAGAGGGTTAAATCGTGTGGGTTCATATACGGAGATGCGGTCACGCAGGTAGGCGGGTCCCAAACCGTTTAGGGCTTTGTAGGTGAGCACCTGCACCTTGAATTGGGACCGGAAAATGAACGGCAGCCAATGGAGCTCCTTAAACAGGAGGGTTGACCTCTCCCTGTAAGGAGAGCCAGTTAACAACCTGGCCTCCGCCCGTTGGACCAGTTGGAATTTCCGGGCCGTTTTCAAGGACAGCCCCACTTAGAGCGCATTACAGTAGTCCATTACAGTAGTCCAATCTGGAGGTGACCAAGGCATGGACCACCCAATTCTAACTGTAGTCTTACATAATGGTGGAGCCTCTGGTGACGCAATGGCTTAAACTCTTGTGCAGACAGGACTGCTGACCAACAGGTCGGTGGTTCGAATCTGGGAAGTACGCTGAGCTCCCTCTGTCAACTCCAGCTCCCCATGCGGGGACATGAGAGAAGCCTCCCACAAGGATGGTAAAAATATCAAACATCTGGGCATACCCTGGGCAACGTCCTTGCAGATAGCCAATTCTCTCACACCAGAAGTGACTTGCAGTTTCTTAAGTCGCTCCAGATGCAAAACAAAAACCATAATGGTAATCTGTAAAAATATTTTTAGAAATGATTTCGGAATGCGAGCACCCTGTCTCAAACGTTGTATTCATTCTAAAGAAAAATATTCCATAAGGCATTTATTCAATATTTTCCAGGGCAGAAAAAAAGATTGGGGAACACTAGAGATCCCCCCCCCCACACACACACACATTATTCTAGGCCTTTATGTGTCTTTCAAAGGGCAAACCTTCGCAGATTTAGACATACTTTATTTACTCGAATCTAATGCTCCCTCCAAAATTAGGGTGCACATGAGATTCGTGTAATACGGTAATCCTAGTCCTGAGCCAAAGCAAAGGGGGAAGCTGTTTCAGGAGTATCTGAAGCTCCTATTTGAGTGCCGTCATATCTAATTTGCCATGACTCAACACTATGTGATCCTGGGATTTGTAGTTTGGTGAGGCACCAGCATTCTTTGGCAGAAAAAGCTCGAGGCCTTCTACAACTACATCATTTCATAACATTGAGCCAGGGCGGTTAAAGTAGATTCATTCTACAGCACAGATGCATCCCAAGGTTTTCTTTTCTATTGCTGGAAGATTTAGCGTCCCAATACTTGTTTTTAAAGAAGGAATTTTAAGCAGGCAGCAGCAGTAATGGCCAAATTACAAAGAGTACACTTTTTGCCACCGCGCAAATACTTTTTTTTTTTGGTTTGTTTCAGGGGTTTGAAAATTGAAGTGCACATTACACTGGATGGCACGTTAGACTCAAGTAACAGTGAACTTTGGGCATTACAGTTAGCTTTCCATATTTATGGATTCTGTATCCAGGAATCCCATCATCCACAGCTTGAAAATATATGGGAAATCAAACTGCCAAAGGCAAACCTTGATTTGGACATTTATATAATGTCGATATTACTACAGCATTAGGCATAATGGGATTTGAGCATTATGGGTTTGGAGATCTATGGGAGATCCTGGAACCAAACACTAGTGCGGTGTTTCTCAACCTTCCTAATGCCATGACCCCTTAATACAGTTCCTCATGTTGTGGTGACCCCAAACATAAAATCATTTTCTTTGCTACTTCATGACTCTAATTTTGCTACTGTTAGCAATTGTACTAGAAAGATGTATTCACTGGACCAAATTTGGCACAAATATCCAATACACTGGTAGAGTTGGGGGGTGGGTTGATTTTGTCATTTGGGAGTTGTAGTTGATGGGATTTATAGTTCACCTACAATCAAGGAGCATTCTGAATTCCACCAATGATGGAATTGAACCAAACTTAGCACTCAGAACTTCAATGGCCTACAGAATAAAACTGGAAGTGTTTGGTGGGCATTGACCTTAATTCACCTACATCCAGAGAATACTGTGGACTCAAACAATGATGGATCAGGACCAGACTTGGCACGAATACTCAATATGCCCAAAAGTGAACACTGGTGAACACACTATTTTCAGGGGGAAATAGACCTTGACATTTGGGAGTTGTCATTACTGGGATTTATAGTTCACCTACAATCAGAGAGCATTCTGAGCCCTACCAATGATAGAATTGGGTCAAAATTTCCACACAGAAGCCCCATGAGCAACAGAAAATACTGTTTTCTGATGGTCTTTGATGACCCCTCTGACACCCCCTTGCGACCCCTCCAGGGGTCTCCACCCCCAGGTTGAGAAACACTGCACTAGTAGATACTGCTTTATGATAGATAGATGTGTCCAGAAGATCTCAGGGATAGAAGATTGGTCCTTTGCCTTTCTACAGGTACCTAACCTTGGTATGGAGGTATATTTTACTACTCATCAGCACTTTTCTTTCTTTCCAGGTGTTTTGTCGATTCTCGAGTTCAGCCAATTTATGGTGGTACCAATGAAATAATGAAAGAGCTCATTGCCAGAGATATTGTGAGCGACAAATAGGCATATTTGGATCCTGTTTCAGATGGATTAAACTGTATTCTCACCCCACTCCCCACCCTCTTAAAAAAGGAAAGAAAGAGTGTGGCATGTAGCTAAAGAAGAAGAGGCATGATTTAAAACTTGGTAAAAAAAAGATTATGTTTCTCTTGTTACTTTTACACATTTAACATGGGGTGAGTAAGTCTTCTGGTGTGACTCCAGATGCATTTAGAGGTAGAAAATGACAACTGCCTTCTTTATCTTTTAACGCTGGGATTATTGAAGCCTGATGTAATTAATTCTAGTACTAAGCATTAAGGACTAGAGAATCACATGCACTGGAGGATGTCTTTGGAGTGGCTAGAGAAAAGGGAAACATAATTGTTGATGTTGAGGTAATGAGGAAAATACTCTTTGGAATTTGTGCCTATTTCTCGTATTTCTGACTCATTTTTTCCTTTATTGGAAATACAGCTTTTAATCATAATCTTAATGGTGGCCTGGAAAGAATTCTTCGGACTTGATATTTAATCTTATAATGTTATCAGGGAATTGCACATGAATGTTAACAATGTTTACATACAGCACAAACTGCCTTGTTTGCTATTTGTTTCTATTTTGTCTAAAACAAATAAAACAACCAAATCAGCATCATGTAGCATTGCTTTCATATTTCCTCAGCCTTAAATAATGTCTTGGAAACACCCATCCAGGGCACACTGGATATGCGAACTGATTCTCATTGGGTGTGGTAATAGTCTCTGCTGAAGTAATTGAAGGCTTGCTTTCTCACTTTTGCAGAGAAGTATAAAGAAAGGCATTTAAGACTTGTTTTTTTATAGTTGGCACGATTTTATAATTGGCACATTCACAAAACCATTGTAGTTTTGGTATTGAATTTAACGTACATACAGGAAGTTGAGCGCTTTGCATTTTAAAAAATTCTCCCAAGTGTGTGTTGGCAACATATAAAAGAGCTTATTCTGCTTTATGGATGCCTGCACCCACAAGTTGCTTCGTGCTTGTTGGCATTAGGTCTTTTGCCATCATCCGTTTGTTCCCCATTGCTTGGCATGACTCACGGCACAGTTCTGCAGAGACTACGATTTAAGCCCATGCAATGATTCCTGTAACCTTTAGCTTTTTTATGTTTCTAGAGTTCTAGTACAATACTTTCAACAAAAGCTGTCTGAATAGCTTATTTGCCATTCATCAATAAATAACCAGACTGAAAGCGGATCCTCATAACTAGCAAAGCATTGACTGGAAATACAATGGAATTCGCTCCTGATATGCAGAGAAATGCACTTTGAAAGAAGCATTTTTTCCCACAAGCTTTTTTGCATTTGGTACTAAAGATATGGAACAAATCAAATCCAAACATAATTTCTTTTCTTATATTTGAACCCAAGCAAGACCAGGTAATACAAGGAGTAGGGCCTATAGGTAGCAACCTGTTACACGTAATAACACAGAACCATGAAGGCCCTTTGATGCTGCAGATAAGTTAATATATGTTTAGGTAAGGCATCCAAGTCTTTGTTGGACTAGGAACTCTGATGGATTTAGAGAGGTAGGCTGGATATACACTGCCCTATATCTCAGATTATCTGCTTATCTCAGGCTATCTGGCAGTATTATTTATTGTGTCATCAGCAGCCATGCCATTGTACTACATCTCTAACAGAACAAAACAAACAAACAGATAAAAAAACACAAATTTTGCAAACTTGGTAGTTGGTTAAATGTCCTTTGACCAGTATCTGGCCACTTGGAGTGCCTCTGATGTTGCCGCAAGAAGGTCCTCCATTGTGCACGTGGCAGGGCTCAGGTTGCATTGCAGCAGGTGGTCAGTGGTTTGCTCTTCTCCACACTCGCATGTCGTGGATTCCACTTTGTAGCCCCGTTTCTTAAGATTGGCTCTGTATCTTGTGGTGCCAGAGCGCAGTCTGTTCAGCGCCTTCCAAGTCGCCCAGTCTTCTGTGTGCCCAGGAGGGAGTCTCACAGTGTATCTGGCAGTGTAGACTCATATAATCAAGTTCAAATCAGATAATCTGGAATCAGATTTTGGGATACAAGGCAGTGTAGAAGGGGGCATAGTCTTCCAAATCCATGATGCTTTCAGGCCCTAGGAGACCTGCCAGTTTATTCTGGTATGAACTTCTGTGGATGTCCACATCCGATGACACTGTCCTATGCACTACTACCACAAAGTTTATTTCTAACTTTCAAGGTGCTACAAAATTATTTGCTTTTCATCATGTATTCATTCTGAATAAATTCAGCCTGCATATTGTTTACAAGTACTTTGCGGCAAGATACTTTTTTTTCATTGATCTAGGGCAGAGCTTCTTAAACTTCTTAAACAATTCTGGCCCAGCTTACCTGTCCGAATGTATCTCCTCCTATGAACCATCCAGGACAGGGTCTGCAAACTAAGGCCCGAGGGCTGGATATGGCCCTCCAAGGTCATTTACCCGGCCCTTGCTCAGGGTCAACCTAAGTCTGAAACGACTTGAATGCACACAACAAGAATCCTATCTCATCAGCCAAAAGCACGCCCACACTTCCTACTGAAATACTAATAAGTTTATATTTGTTAAAATTGTTCTTCATTTTAATTATTGTATTGTTTTAAAGTGTTGTTTGCATTGCAAATAAGATATGTGCAGTGTGCATAGGAATTCATTTATGTTTTTTTCAAATTATAATCCGGCCCTCCAACAGTTTAAGGGACTGCGATCTGGCCCTCTATTTAAAATGTTTGAGGACCCCTGATCTAGGAGCTTAAGACCGTCTGAGGAGGCCCTGCTCTCGATCCCACCTGTCTTGCAAGTGCAATTGGCAGAGATGAAGAACAGGGCCTTCTCAGTGGTTATGGAACTCCCTCCCTAGGAATATTAGATTGGCTCCCTCCCTCCTGACTTTCAGAAAAAAAGTAAAGACCTGGCTCTTTGAGCAAGCTTTTGAAAATGCAGCAGAATAGATAACACGGAACTATGAATGATGAACATGGAATTGCCAGACGATGTTATAGGATAACGTTTTTAACAAGATGACACTGATGATTATATGCTTTAATGGTTTTTATTTATGTTTTATATTGTAATGTTGATGGTTTTTAATGGCACTTTTACAAATGCCTGACATCAAATTGTGCCAATCTGTAATCCGACTTGAGTTGCCATATGGCTGAGAAAGGTGGGCTATAAATATCATAAATAAATAAACAATTTTTCCCAAGAATATAGGTATATAAAATAGATATACAAATCCAGCATTTGCTGATAATAAATCAGAATTTGCAAGGTTTTGCTAAACAGGCTGGTTTTCCCTTTTATGGAATATAGCTGAAGCATTTTCGGCAGAGCCCACTGTAAACACTGCACTTCTTGCTAACAGATGTGTGTAAATGTCTGAAAGAGCCACTAGGTGGCAGTCAGAAGCCTTTTACTGTTGCCCCAACAGTGAACCCATTTGGGATAGGAACCCACCTTTTAAGATCTAGGGCCTCTTCCACACAACTGAATAAAATCCCACATTATCTGATTTGAACTGGGATATATGGCAGTGTGGACTCAGAAAACCCAGTTCAAAGCAGATATTTGGGATTTTCTGCCTTGATATACTGGGTTATATGACTGTGGAAGGCCCCTAGGACTCAGTGAATGTTGGACCTGTGTAGCCATGTATCCCTTATCTTTTATTCTGGTGGCAGGAAAGTGACTTTTTGATTGGCCTGAATGTCCTCAAGATCATAGGGCCCTTCTACACTGCCATATAATCCAGAATGGGTAAAGGTAAAGGTTTTCTCCTGACATTAAGTCCAGTCATGCCCGATTCTGGGGTGTGGTGCTCATCTCAATTTATAAGCCGAAGAGCTGGCATTGTCCATAGACACCTCCAAGGTCATGTGGCCAGAGCGGTACCTATTGATCTACTCTCATTTGCATGTTTTTGAACTGCTAGGTTGGCAGAAGCTGGGGCTGACAGCGAAAACTCATGCTGCTCCCTGGATTCGAAACTGTGACTTTTTGGTCAACAAGCTTTGCAGCTCAGTGCTTTAACCCACTGCGCCACTGGGGGCTGTCATAATCCAGAATATCATGGCAGATAATTCACATTATCTGCTTTATGCTGGATTATTGGAGGCCTCTTCCACACAGCCGTGTTGAAGGGCCTTGAGTCTACCAGATAATACAGTTCAAAGCAGATAATCTGGATTTTATACAGCTGTGTAGAAGGAGCCTCAGGGACCTTCCACACAGCCATATAACCCAGAATATGAAGGCAGAAAATCCCACAATATTTGCTTGGATCTGGGTTATCTGAGTCCACACTGACATATAATCCAGTTCAAAGCAGATAATGTGGGATTTTATAAAATGTGTGGAAGGGGCCCTGGTTCTTGTAATAAGTATAAGCTAAAGGCCCTTCCACACAGCCAAATAACCCAGAATATCATGACAAAAATACCTCACTACCTCTGAGGATGCTTGCCATAGATGCAGGCGAAACGTCAGGAGAAATGCCTCTAGAACATGGCCATACAGCCCGGAAAAACCTACAACAACCCAGTGATTCCGGCCATGAAAGCCTTCGACAATACATGACAAAAATATTTGCTATAAACTGGAATATATGGCAGTGTGGATTTAGGGCCCTTCCACACAACCCTATATCCCAGAATATATTGGCAGAAAATCCCACATTATCTGAGTTGGGGATTTTCTACTTTGATATTCTGGGATGTATGTCTGTGTGGAAGTTCAGTTCAAAGCAGATATTGTGGGATTTTTTGCTTTTGATATTCTGGGTGATAGGGCTGTGTGGATATGTCTCCAAAGGACCAGTGTTCTTTATGGCAGGGCTCTGCTTCTCTGTGGAAGGCTAGTGAGAATGATTGACGTTTGGGTAGCGTGCAGAGGGCGGGGCCAGGAGGATGGACTTAACCCCCTCCTTATATTGGAATCCAAGAGGGAGACCCTCCAGAGCGCTGATTAGCATAGCACCGCCCTTCTCGGCTTCCGATTGGCCAGCTCCGTCGGCCGCCTCCCAGTGGAGGCCCCGCCCCCTCCGCCCAAACTCTTGCCCGAAGGTCCCGCTTGTTTAGCTGTGGAGGAGCGGAGCGAGAAGACCAAAGGGGGAAGCGGCGGAATAATGAAATGAGAGCGGAGGCAAAAGAAAGAGGCGGCCTCGCTGTGGCAACCGGAAAGCCAAGAGCTCGGCGTGCCTGAGGGGGAAGAAGGTGAAAGAGCGGGCGGCAGCAAGGACGGAACGGAGTTGGGCAGGCAAGTCAAGAGCGGGTCCCTTCAGAGGCTGAGGAGAGGCGGTTGGAACTCACTCCTCCCCCCTCCCTTATGTTTTGGTGGCGCGCGCGCGAGCGAGCGAGCGTTCTCAACCGCGATTTAACGGCAGTGAAGCCGCGGAGGGGGCGTGGCTTGGGGGAGGGCCAAGGGAGGGGGCGGGGCCGCGCCTCTGGAATGCGAAAGGGGAGGGGGAGTGGAGTTTGTGGCTCGCGCGGCCTCGGAGCGCGGTGATTGGGTGGGGATGGGAGTGACGCGGAGGGGGGGGAAATGCCTGGAAGGGGCGGGGGAGTTTCTCTCCCAAGTTCAGAAAGAGCAAAAGGGAACTCTCTCTCTTTCTCTCTC